AAACATCAGGTTTTCGATGCTACGCTTCGCGACACGAAATCGAAAGTGACGGGCAATTTTTTTACTGGCACTTCGCCGCGATCGCCAATAATTAACAACTTCGCAGGGGGTCGTCATGTAAACTTATTAAAATATTTATAATGACTCGGCGTTAGATAAGAACTTTTATCTATTATAAGCTCGAATGTGGATCTACAGCAAAATATGCAATAGACCTAGGTATGCTAAAATTAGTCACCATCGACATAAAGTTCATTATTTTGAGGAAATCTCAAAGCACCGTACAAGGAACTTCCCATTATTGATATTAGAAATGATTTTTTATATTCATACGTAAAACCGATAAACGTTGAGAGCTTTCGAAAAATAACTTTTATTGCACCTATAGCAAAATTATAAAACATAATGTCACAATTGTTTCACTGACATACTTATTGCTTCTGTTTTTTGTATTCATGACCAACTGGAAATTTGAACAACTGAAAAAAATTGCATAATACTTCTTCATGCTTGGAGCCCGAGCCTTAGTGTCTGTTATAACGTTTACTTGGGAAAAATACTAATTTGCTGACCATAGACTGAAGTTTTAAACCAAAATTGGTTGATTGATAAAATACTTTTATTTTACTTCAAAGATAACAAAATATTTGATATTTTATTAATTAAAATAAGTAAAACGCCATTAAAAGCAAGTTCTAACGTTACCAAATCATTAATTAATTGAATGCAAGAATCTCATTATCAAAATTATTATTAGCAACGTCCCAAAGTTCGCCTGAGAGTGTATTTGTCCACGCGTCCATTGTAGTTGTACCTATATGTTATTAACAGGTCACAAGAGAACAATTATTATCACGGTATATTCATGTATACATAATATAATAGGATACAACTGAAAATGTACTAAATTGTAAATTTTAAAACTATATAAACACGTCAAATACAATGTTCGAACAGTTTTGAGTCCATGACAATGAAACAAACGACGTTAAAAGCTATTTTATTTAAAGTGATCAAAATTTGATCTAATAACGAATCCATTCGGAAAACCCAGGTGTATAGAAATTTTAATGATTTGCGCCCAATAGCTATTTTTATTGCATGAATTCATATAAAAATGGTTTCACATAGTACAATAAAAGTAAATAATAGCGATTACATAATATAAAAAATGAAACGTCATATCTTTTATTGAACGATAAACAATATCTTTGTCTATAATCGATTCTGGTTCCATATTTTTTTTGACTGAGTCACATAAAGCTTGTCCATATTTAGTGCCTTCACCGTGATTGATGAAAGACTCTCGTGTATGATAATTACACGGATCGTCCCAATTACTCATGAAAATTCATTGACAAAATTAAAATTTAAATACAGAATAATGTAATTTCTCTTTCATTGTTGCTTAAATTTTAAAATAAAAACTCAAAGGTTTTTACAAATTATTATCCTAGTCTTTGATTATTTATATAATAGAAACTTTGCCAAGTCCATCGAAATATTTATACAAAATGTATAAAGTTTAATTATTCCGACGATAAACTGACAAGTTAGTCTCTTACTAAATTTCCCAGCAAAAAGAAAAAATTGTCGGAAAAACACTTTTAAATAGATTTTAAGTAGATTAGTAGATTTAGTAGATTTTAAGTAGATTGATTAATATAAAAATTAATTTAACTGTGCATTTTAATACAAAGAATATAAGAATAATGCTTAAAAACAATGAATAATATGCACATTATCTTTTTACGAAAAGAAACAATAGCACTTTTATCTGTTTGTATTTTACATCTGGTTATGACTGCTCGGGGGGAAATTCACCTATTATACTAATATGAAATTTATGCAATAAATGTTCATTTATTTAATCACACGCATTTCCTTAATATTTAAGACGTCCATTTTTGATATATTTTAATTTATATTATAAATATAATGTTGTGGCATGGCAATATTGTTATTGTAATAACTTCTTATAAAATGTTCCTACAAATTGGCTTACCCATTTCATATTGTGTTAACCAAAACGTCCATTTTTTCTTCTGACTAAAATGTATTTCGTAAGTATGCCTTTTAATTTTTGTACAAAAGATAGATTTCTCATATTTTAGAAATTTTTAGTATCTTAGAGAAAATCTATGAAAATTCCTTTCAGTGATCAATTGTTTTTCTTGGTTATTATAACAATTTAAAATTAGAGGTTTTATTATGAAAACCTCAAAGTTGGTTTTTCCCAAGTAATAGATTGCAAAACAAATCTAAGATAAAATCATTGAGTACTTACAATTTTTTACTGTCAGTAATAAATAAAAGATTTCAAAGCTACGAACGATATTTTGACAATAATATTTCAAACAGATCACTAATTATAATATTTAATGTCTTACACTTTTAAGCTATTCATATGGTCAAAGATTTTCTTATGGAATATAAAATGTTTATGAATGTGTAACAATGTACTATTTGGTATTCGAGGAAACAAACATTATTCACCATTATATAAAGCTATTATAAAGGCCATTTTTCAAGATATACCATTCAAAATATACTATTGAACAGTAAGACTGCGAAGTATATCGGTTAAATGTTTTTAACAGAAAATAGACGGCGAAACAGCTAATACAGTAAATTACGGTGAATATATTTTATAGATGGATATATATAGCGCTAGAATACACCAAAGGTTATAAACATTGAGTAATTAGCGCTTTATCACATCTTTTATCATAAAAATCTTGAAAAAACTACTTCTTATCGTATCTTAAGCGCATGTTGCCATCGCAACGATTATTATAAGCGTAAAACTTGCTGCTTGCACACATTTTCGGTCTAAAAATATGAAATTTATGCACAATTTGTGCTACATAGTATTCAGTAACAAACAGTACATAAAACTCATTGAAAAACGTGTACATTTTGGTATTAATTTATTTACTGCAGTATTGCTTTCTATATATATATATAATATATATATTATACATTTTGTTCTGTACCATGGCGTAGAAATGCATGATAATACTAAGCTAACAGTAACTAATCGTATAGTTTAAATACCTTACAAATTCAAATGAAATGATTACTATTTTCGTATCACCTAAGAAAAATTTTTGCTTTTACGGAAAAATTACTTTAAAATTTCAATTAAACTTAAATAAAAACAAGGTTCACGTGTACAGGTCTGTTTAATGATAACATACCTTAAAACCCATAAATAAACTTTGAAAAATAATATTCCAGTGGCTTTCAATTTTTCAATAAGTAAATTTTTTTTCAAATTCAATTTAATTTTTATCTTTTTGAGAAATATTCTACCCGGGAGTGCGTAGATTTCGTAATTTAATACAATTAAATATGTTTAAAAGAATCATTTTCTGAAAAAAGGATAACTATCCGTATAGATCGTATTATGTTATTAAATACAAAAATACGAAGGTGAACCTCTAATCAATTTTGATTGAAAGCTGGCAGTGTGCATAGCTTGAAAATTAATGGTTAAATTTTATATTAAATATCACGTGAAGCCAAAAGTATCAGAAATTTTTTTCAGCTTAATGAGTTTGACGAGATTGAGAAGATGAATTAAGAATAATGCAGTATACAGGTTTTTCGTTATTTTTTCAACATATATTCACCTTAAATTTTCTGTGTTTTAGTTAAATCTACCGTTTATTTTCTACTGTGTCGAATTTATAATCTTCGAATCGTATAACACTTACGAAAGTATATACATTATGTAACTTTTATAGAATTTTTTTTGCAAGGTACTCGATTAATACAAGCTGTATCTACTCGAATGAATATTTTAATTTAATGATAATTTTATACGTTCCAAGTGACTTTGTTTTATTATTCTAATACAGCATATAAATGTTATATCTTTGTTCTCTAATCTTAGCACTCATGGAAAGTTAAATTGATCAATTTTGATTTTTTTGAGTCAGTGCATTCAAATTTTTCATTACTAACAAAGTTGTCAATTTCAGCCCTGCCCGTGATTAGGATTGAGTAGGATTTTGAAAACCGCGAGACTGATCCCAAAATCATGAAAGTACCTGAAGAGGGCTGGGATATTCAGTCGAAATTATGATGATCGGTATATAAGAATAATAGTTATAAGAATAGGTTAGCAATGAGCTGTAGCCTTCTGTGAATGCCAGGAGTAGAAAAGAAATAGATAAAGTTTAACAACCGTATTATAGAATCATTTAATAATGAAATATTTCAATCTTCACAAAGATAAACTGGATTACCTTAGGCTCATTATGTTACATACTTTTAAATTTTATTTTACGTCAAGTTTTTTAAACGTAATAGTATATTCTTTTTTAATAAACTTTTTTGTGAATCCCCCAGTCTAAAGTAATATTTTGATTTCTCTCAGCGGGCGTAAAATGTTACTTTAGGTTGGGGTAGCACAAAAACTATACTTATACATTTCAATTCCAGAAGTAATAGCAAAAGGAACTTGAATAGAACAACAAAATTTAATATTGAGAACATTGTAGTAAAAAAGCATGTGCTCAACTTTTAAAATAAAAATAAAAATTCAACAATGGTTGCTTTCCTTTATGATTGCGAAGATTTTAATAACGATTGAAATATACTTTAATGGTAATGTGTTAAGCTATGATAAACTGTAAAGGTTACTCCTCAATTATTAAATTTTGAATAAAAAGAAAACCTCATTCTAGTTTCGAGCTCTTTTAAATTAACTTTCATTGGTTTGAACTTAAAAATACTTGATGGTGAAATTAAAATTTCATAATTTATAACAATACTAATAGAGTAATATGAGTTAAACTCTATATATTACAATTATGCACAAATTTAAAAAAGTTAAAATGAAAATGATGTGCTAACCATATGATAATGAAACTATTCAAACTCGTAAATAGATTTACATATGTTATCTACACTTTCATAAATATTTAAAAAGAGGATTGGGCAAATAACATGGAAAATTCATTTTATCGCGATGAATATAAGAAATTGTTTAAAAATAGAGTTCTTAAATTTTAAATCTGTACACGTTTTACTTAAAAATATTACATGAAATAAAAAACAATCTTTTGTGCTTATATATTCATTGAAATATAGACATATTTCATCTCATAAATATCATTAAAAATTTCTAAAACCAGCGATGCTATAAATATTTATTATATACGCATTTCGATGTATTCAATGTTGTATATGATCAAAATTATTTAATTTCAACAATCTTATAGAAATAGATATTTACTATGTCCATCTCTGAAGATTATAAGCGACATAAAAATTATAAACATTTTATAAATAGATGATGGTGCAAAAATAAAAATTCATCACGCCCATAATTAGATTACAGGGAAATTAATTTTTAGTTGAACAATGAAACGTTACTACTATCAGAGACTCAAAAATCTAATTAAAACGGAGCGACTATAGCTGCAGCCTCACCTCTACTAGTTGGTAGTGGAGTGCCTTCAGTCCATATATACAAATTTGGATCGTATCGTTCAACAGTAGACACAGTTATTTGAGTACGATAAAAATTTATTTCTTGAGGTTGATCACCTCCAATAACATACAGGCAGCCATTGGCTGCTGCTACGGCTGGATAAGAGCGACCAACGTTTAATGAAGCTAATGTAGTCCATGTATTCTAAAAATTAAATTTTCAATTTATCAATTTCAGTTATACAACTAAGTAAACATTTAAATATTTTATGAAAATACCTCTGCAAATGAATATCTTTCAACAGAAGTCAATACTTCTTGGTTTTTATTAGTCCCGCCTATAACATACATGTAACCATCGAGTACTGCAATGCCCATTTGTGAACGAGGCGTCAACATTGGTGCTAAAGCTGACCATTCTTTTGTCAATGGATCATAACTCATCACGTCTTGTCGATGCCGGCTGTCATGAGTGCAACCACCCACAATATAGATTAGTCCTGATGAAATACAAGTTGATTAGAATTCTTACATTAAATATTCTCCAGTTATTAGAGGATTTTCATACCTTCGTAGGAGGCAACCCCCATGCTAAATCTAGGCTCTGGCAGTTTGTCGTGATGGTGCCAGGTGTTAGTGACAGGATCATAAACTTCTATGTTTCCTCCTATATCTTCACCAACCCATCCACCAAAAGCGTAAAGATGATTTTCGAAGGCACATAAACCAAATTCGCATCTGGATTCCAACATGTTACAAATCGATGAAGTCCATTCATTGTCTCGAGGATCATAACATTCGCCATCAGACATAATATGAGATTCCAACTCGCCTCCAATCACATAAACTTTACCATCGAGCAGAGCTACACCAGGTAAAATTCGACCAGTTTTTATTGGAGCTACTTCACTCCAGGTACTGAAATATTATTATTTATTATTTATATTTTCAAAGAAGCACAAATAAAAACTTGACAAATCGACGTACTCATTGTAAGTATCGTATTTGTTGACAATTTGATAGGTACTTTCAGCAGGTCTGACCCATCCATCTGTAGAATGTTCACGCTTGGATCCTCCGATAACTAGTATATTCTTTTTGGCGCAAAGACGAGGTTGTGCTTGCAATGGTACAAGGCATCCTTTGTTATTCAATAAGTCTTTTTGAATAGAGGTCAAGGCCACTATCAAGCTACCGTCGCTGCACTCGTATATAACCCGATCTAATCGAGCCATAGAGCACAATCGTAGCCTTATATGACTAAATATTTCAAATACGTAGCAAAGTCTAGCTGGTATGTCATGAGTTATCCAGTTGTAGGTGGCTTGGAAGACCTATAATGTACTTTTTTTTAATTTACATGTTCAAAACATGTTATGATTGACAGTAATTATCTCAATTATTATTACCTGAAATTCTGTATCAATATGAATTTTTTCACTACTAATGAATTTGACTAGTTGTTCTTTGGGAAGATCTAAAAATTCCTCTTCTTGCACAACTTGAGGAAAGTTTATTTCAATAAAACGTAGAGCGGTCTCCAATAAGTCCATTCTATTGTGAGCTTCTGCAAATCTGCAATTAAAAAAGCACAAAAAATAAATAAAAACCAGTTGAACCAGTTTGAAAAATATTGAACCATCTTATACCTATAAATTCCAAGAGCATTGGAAAAGTGTAGTTGCTCTTGTAAGTACGAAATACAACTAGAAACTACTTCGTCCAATTCCAACATATCGGCAGCAGCAAATAGCTCTTGAACATTATCTTGAGTAATATCCACATTTCCAGTATAAATAAAATCGACCAGACTTGATAAAATATTCTCAGATACTGTATGGATTTCAACAAGTTCTTGTTGTTCTTCCACTAATCCACAAGTAAACATGGCATTAAAATAAGCGCTGCTTGCTGCTAAAACAGACTTGTGTGCTCTAATGATTGTGTTCCCAACAACTAAACCAACATCACTGAATTGATTTTTAAGTCTTTGGGTATTAAGATTTCTCAAAACCTTAGGTGCATATTGGCCAGCTGCATATTCAGATTTAGATTTTGAATTATCAATTCCAGTCATTATAAATTCAGCGAACCCCATGGTGCTTGTGTTTAATTCGCTTTTTAATGGTACTACAGCACCCTCAGCCATAAAGCCATCAAGCGAGCCTTTGTCCACTACACCTATATGAAATTACAATAATAAATTGTTTATAAAATTTTAACATTCATTAATTTTTCTTAAACAATGGGAACAAAAAAGTTTATTTTCTTTCAACTTTCTACTTTGTATTTAAATAAGTTAACATGAGTATAAACTAAATATAAAATTTAGATTTACTAAAGTAGTTAAATGGCAATCAAGAACCGCTGAATTGAAATTTTAACAGTCAGGTACTCAAAAACGGTCAGAGCTTTTTATATATTGCATGCATTGGTTCATACACAAAATATGGGTTTGATTTACAAAAAAATTGATGACCTGTTTGACATAAATATAGAACTAGAAGGAAATAAAAAAAAATGCAATAAAAAAGTTAAGAAAAATCAAGATGCTAGACAGGCAGAGGTAAAAAGTTTGACAGCTGCCTCTACCGAATATTAATGACATCAAGATCAGCTAGCTTCCTGTACTTTATAATTGAAAATCATAATATTTAACACGATGCAATAAGTTTTTTACTTAAATTAGAATATTTCAAAATTCCAGCAATCAAATTCGACGCCGTTTTAAAGACGAATTATGTAAGCAAGTGTGAAAAGTTTCAACGTTCAGGCAATTAAATATGCGTTAGACTTACGAGCATAATTACAAAACGAGATTTGTCTAGAATGTTTACGCAAATTTTTTGTGAAACGAGTTGTAATGTTTTTAAAAAAATCGTCAAAAAAGTTCATATCTATAACGTGCGTTGTTGAAATATAATTATCGCTTGAGACTATAATTTAAAACTGCAACTGAAGTACTACGAGTAGTCGCAAACTCGTACAGTAAAACCATAGAAATTCGCATTATAGCAGTATGAAAGAAGATGCAATGAGAGAATATGAAAGTGCAAGAACCTCGCCGACCAAATCGTTCAAATAAGCCTTAAGTCGTCGTCGTCGCCTTCAACGACGACGAAAGCGATGAAGACGCATAACGCAGCAAAAAGAGCTGCGAATACTATAAAAGCTCAATTATTGATTAGTGAAGACTTTTTAGTGTCACACTGTTATTTTATGTATATATAGCTGCATGTTTTGCCTCTTTGTGAGTTGTGACATGCACATACCACAAGAGCTTTGGTGTAACTGCGTCGAAATTATTTAGCTTTGTAATAACGAAGAAAAGACAATAACAAACAGGAGTAAGTATTTGCGAAAAATGTATTACTTACGACATAGGCGCGAAAGGACTTTGTAGACACTCGGGAACGATTTGCTGTTGCTGGCTTTGCTACCCTTGAGCCGCATGCTTAGGCGCGTCGCAGGCAGTTTAGCTCCTCAAAATCGACATGGTGTGCAGCGAGTAATGCTGTTATGACTACTGACTAGTCAATAAGTTATAATATGCGCCGTCCTAGAGGCGATCGTTGACAGTTTGCCTCGCGTGGCACGGCGCGAGTCTCGTTATGTGTACAGCTATACAAGTATACTTATGAAGCGGCAGCTTCGAGCTATGCACAGTCTGCAGAACCGCGGCACACCGCACAATCGCCTTCTTCCATCTATTCACAACATTAAATCAGCCGCCTCGGCGAATCCGCCAAGCACCTATGATACACTGATCCACATAGGAAGATCATCATCGATGATAAAAACTATATAGCGATGAACTGCAGCTACTGCGCCCAAGTCTCGACTCCGAAGTACTTACCATGCCCTCCTTTTCGATTATTTTTCTTGCAACTGCGCTGATACACTTATACAGTACACACTGTAAGCGAGCTTGTTATGACTTTACACACTATAGGCGTCGAGTGCGCATCCGCTTGTCGCTGCTTGACACTGAAAGTTCTTGTTATTGTCGCAGCAACTGCTGTTAGCCAAACTTTTGATGCACTTTGTTTGTTAAAACTCATAGCTTATGTATTAAATTTAACCATCGATTGATTGATCGGACTTCATGCTAGTCTTCCTCCCGCCATTTTTCCGCCTCAGCTATCCACTTTGCAGATTAAAATGACGTAACCGTTTGAATGCTTTAGATGCTATAATTGTTAATAATTTTTGTTAGAGATTCCGCTCACCTGATTAATCGACTGTTGAGAGCAAAGAAAAATGCCTGTTACCGACTTTGTCAGATCACAGTGACTCATTATAATCTGCTTTTTCATTTATTTTAATGCAACTTAATATAATAAATAAAGCTTTTGACAAGCTCGACTGTGAAAGTGTGAACTGCGAAAGTGTGAAAAAATGACAATTATTAAAGAGTGACTGGAACTACAATCGATCGGATACAATTATCGATTGGCAACTTTCGATTTAAACAGCCTCTGCAGTGTCTTCCCGAAAGACGTCATGCAAACGTCGCCACAGCTAGGCCTTTTTCACAGTCAACACTACATTGGTCGTTTTACTGATTTATCAGGAGGTAATATAGAGTAAGGAGTTCCGGGTCGAGTAAATGAGAGGCTTTCTTTAGTTTGGAAAATCAGTAAAGTGACCAGTGTAGTAACAACTAAGTCAATACACTAAGCCTCGCTTGAGGTACATTTTTTAAAAATCGATTGAATCAAATTATCATTTCATTCCAAATAAATATTGTATAATCATATCAAATATAATAAAAATGGTTTATCTGATTGAAAGTAACGTTTTGAATTTAGCGCTGTGAGAGTGAGTCATGGTATAACGTCAATCGCGCAACTTCAATTTGTGCATTCTGATTGCACTGCGCTGGTGGCTGGTGCACACAACTAAGAACTAGAAGCTATAGGATTGACGACATTGCTGCATTAGGTCACTCACGCATGCTCTATTGCTCCGTGAGTGTCAAAGGAATTCGTGAGAGACATTGGTTCGCACTTTACTTTTGGAAACTCCGAATCATTGCTTTCTTTGTCCGTCACGATTAAAAATTACGTTCGAACTAGTAAATTTTTAGTGGTGGATTTTTCTTTCGAAATTGCGAAGTAAATTAGAACTTCGTTGTCATGACGCGCATTTCGAAGGCATCGTATGCCAAATTTACGGTAGGTCCATTAACACAGGATTGTGTACATCCTGTTGCACAGAAAAATTTGATTGCATCTTTTTCATGGTTATCGTGCATCTATTAGTGTCTAAATTTTACTTATTTAGCAGAGCGTCGATGGACACGATGAGTTCCTCAATCGGATATCAAAAACGTTACATTACACAAAATTGCCAGTACCAGATTGCCTGAGCTTGCCAGTAACAGGTTTGTTAATTATCTATCTCACTGTTCAGCTCACAAAATTCAAATAATTCATTGAAATTCTTCCAACTCTAGAACTTGCTGCGGAAATATTTACAGAAGTAAAAAATGGTCAAACCTTAGAACGACTAGATGTTGAAGAGGCCAGTCAAATCTCTAGAAATGCATGTGTCTCGCCATGTTCACTTGTTGTTGCTCTTCTATATTTAGAAAGGTTAAAAGATTGTAATCCTGAGTATTTACAAAAAGTTGCTCCATCTGAATTGTTTTTGGTCTCATTGGTAATACATACATTATATCTATGAATATTCACATATTTCCAAACATAATTATTAAAAAAAAATTTATAGATGGTTGCCAGCAAGTTTTTGCATGATGATGGTGAAGAGGATGAAGTTTTTAATGCAGAATGGGCTCAATCGGGCAATTTAAGTTGCACAAAGATGAATCGTTTGGAAAAAGAATTTCTCAAAGCTATTGTAAGAATTTTTTATTTTTATTACAATTATTATTTTACTCTAAATAAAAATATCTGTAATGAGTAAAGTATTTTAGTAGCATTTGAAGTGCTTTTCATATATGTACTTATTTTTCTTCAACTTAATTAACTCATTTTCATTGACATTTTTTATTGCAGGATTGGTCAGTGTATGTTCATAGTCAAGAGTTTTGGAGGAGGTTACAAAGTTTAGAAAAAGATGTTGCTTTCAAAGAAGCTCATAAAAGAGGATGGTTTTCTTACACAGAACTCAACACTTTACTGAATCTGGCAGATGTACTAACAATGCTGCAAACTCTTGTAAATGTATGCTCATTCTGTATAGCGACTTATACTGCTGGTTTATTTACATTACTAGGAGCAGTTACTGTAGCAGCACAGTTGCCAGATACTTTACTGAATATGAAACAGTCTCAAAGCTTGGCTCTTGCACCTTCAACAAATACTAATCAGATTTTACATCATAAAAATTTACGGATTCAAAGTCTTGAGGATTTTGAAGAAGATGTTGAGAGCCTATTATTGGATTCGGTTTTAGAAAGATCTAAAATGTGTAATGAGTCATATGCAAATCCAAATAATTTCAAGATCAATGACAAACATAATAATAATAATAATAATCAGGGACTACAATGGATAGTTGATTACATAACTCTTTGGTTTCAAAATTCTGCAAATTTAAAGCCAAAACATTATAGAACTGATTGGGAAAATTCTTTTAATCAAAACAGAATCTATGTCACTAAAACAGATTTTTTTATTGAATCAGATTCGTTTCTACAGTATAATAAAGATGGAGTTTACAATAAAATAGAAAAACAAGCTCATGATTCAAGTTTGAAAATATTCTTGAGTAGCTGGAAGTATTATAGTCATCATTTTTTTAAAATTCCTTTAAGTCAAGATCAATGACTATTCGTAAAATCTCTTTTTTCTTTAAAATCGTCATTTGCCAAAATGTTGTAATTGATCTTACCTCATTCTTTTATTACTTTAATTTATTTTATATGTATCTTGTAAAAAAAAATTTTGTACTCTATTAAATTTTATATTCTTCATTGTATGTAGATATAATTTCATAAATTAATGTAACAATTAATATTTCTTTAAAACCAGCTAAAAATATTTAGACTGGACTGTCAGCTTCGACTAACATATAGACTCTACCATAGAGTTACAACAAGTTAAAATTGAAATTGTCCATTTTAGGGAATTGAGCACCATAATGAACAGAAATATATTTTTCTACTGGTATCTAATCTGTACTTTGCTCTAAAAAATTGATTTTTCAATAAACATAACAAGCATAAGTACACATAAAAATTATTTTTCTTGGTATATGAACATTTCTGCGAGTATTTTAATGAATTTTATCAAGTTACACCAACAAACATATCATACCGTTAATATTTTTGGTATTATTATAAATTGCTTAAAAGTTGAATTATTTACAAAATTTGTTAGTAAGATCTGCAGCACAGTAAAAGAAACAGTAGCCAATTTATGACCAGCAATGGCTAACACTCTTATCTAAAAAATCTGAAAATTATCATGACAGTAGATCTGTACAATACAACAAAAACTTGATTATCTAAATCCTACTTGGGCCTCACTTTTAATAAATTTTATTATTATTTATGTCACGATTGTCATCGTGTGTGGAACTCTCATCTGTCTCAAAATTTTTATCTTTTTCTTCTGTACTTTTATCTTTTTCTTCTCTATTTTTATCTTTTTCTTCTGTACTTTTATGTTTCTCCTCTGTATTTTTATCTTTTACTTCTGTATTTTTATATTTTCCTCTGTATTTTTATCTTTTACTTCTGTATTTTTATCTTTTTCTTCTGTATTTTTATCTTTCGCATCTATCACTAGCAGTGGCAACATTCCAATTATACAACCAATAGTCACACCTAAAACTCGGCCCTATAACAAATTTTTTATTATCAATTTGAACTAAAACATCCAGTATCACATGATTCCCAATACTTACAAAATTAGCCGATCTTCTACACATAGGTAAGTTTAGTTGCATTGGCGTTAACTTAGGTGGCTCAAAACCAATCTTTTGTGCCAATCGTTCAACATAAACTGCCGATCCTATACCCAAAATATCGGAAATGGTGTTTCCAAAAGCGGCCGCAGCCATAGTTGATAATGTTATGAATGATCCTAAAGATGCTTCAATTGAATCTCCCTAAAAAAATGTTTCACTTCTTTTAATAACGTTTTTAAAAATTAGATTTAAATGGTATAAAATTATTATTATCTTACAGCGATTATCATAACAAGATTGTCTAGAAAGCCGAATCCAATGAAAGGTATTGCATTAGCAACAGCCACTGCAAAAAAAAAACGTGAGTTTTTCATATTTTTCAGATATGAATGTAGGTGGTAAAAAAATGTAGGTCAATTGAGTTTCTTAAAATGAAGTTAAATTTTGAATTCAACTTAATTATATAATAATTTTTTCATACAAAAACAATATTTTTAAATGAATAAGTATTTAATTTAAGATCATGAATGAAATCTATTTTGATTCGTTTGACCCCACCATGATAAAACTAGTTTTATCCAGAGTTGTCTGAATCAATGAAAGATTAATTTTACATAAAGATAAGTATTTTTTGATGATATTCAAAGTACTAATCAAGAATTCATGAAGTAATTTTTAAAATTTTTTGTTAAAAAATTATAAATTTTTACATACCTCTCATTAAATCTGCTCTGGTAGGTTGAGGTACTGATTCAGCTGTAAATATAACAGAATTTTATTTAGTATTAAAAATTATTGAAATTCAACTGATCAAGTCATCCATTGACTTATTATTTTTAAGAAAAATGAATTAAAAAGATCAGTTTAATTTGGTTAGTGATAAATTTTCTATAACTGAAATACTAAGTACAAGATTATTTTAGATAGACTTACAAAATAGATTTCCGTAAAGTGGGAGCAAAGCAAGGAAGAAGACAATAACAGTTTGTTAGTTTTTTGTCCTTAAGCAGAATAAACAGATATTGAGTTTCCAGGGAACCAGCTTTGAAAGTGCATAGAGTTAGAGAAGCAGTCGGTGAAATAAAAAATTAAGTGTCAATATCATTGTCCATTTAGTTTATAATATTAATAAATTATCCATAATTTATTTTTATATTTGTTTTACAGAATAAGATGAATAATATTTGACATCAAATATAATTTCTAATATTTTTTCATGCAATCTTACGTGAACTATTTTTTGCTGACTCTCCGCAGAACAATGGACTTTTACTGAACTGACTGATAAATCCATATTCATAAAAAAGTGAATTGAATGATTATGATTGATAAATGAAATTTTAATCAAGACTTTGAATAATGATTGATTAGTGCAAGGAAATTCTAATAAATTTGTTAGTAATTAATATCTTTGACAATAGTTGTCATCACCTTCATTAATAGTGAAGATATTGAATTTCATAATATCGATTCTCATGAAACTGGCCCTAGAAACTTAATGTATGATTTATCGTCTTACCATATTTACGTAATAACCAATCATCAGGAACCTCACAGTAACTTCCTGTAGGATCAACATCTCCTAAAGAAGGTACCTTGCTTGGACGTCCAAATTTACTTCTCCATCGAAATGCAGCAAGTTGACCTAATTAAATCAAATGAAAAATAAAAAAAACTAAAGAACTTAACCAAATATTGTTATAAAATGAAGCTTACAGGAAGGCTACAGGAGTGCTACTTTGAAATGGAAGAGAAATTAAAAAATGATTTTTTTATGTTCATAAGAAGAATATTTTAAATATTCATATTAAACTACCTCTTTTATAAATAGCAGAAAAATCCGCACTCCTGCAAACATCTTTATTTTGAAGCTTGACAAGTCGATGTGATGGTTTTTCATTTCTTTAGAAGAGACTCTTCAGTGTGTTTCTTTATATTTATAACACTCATACACAGAGTCTTTATGAATTCTACGTGTGAAAAATTGCAAGTGAATTTCTATAAATGATTATGTAAAAGTTTTGTTTTCTTTTTTTTTCTTTTTTAATTTTCTTTTGAAATACAGCAAAAATGTATCTACTTGACAGATACTAACATTCAACATTTAAAAATACATTAAATAAAAGTGAAAATTCAAGACGATCTATAATTCAAATAATATGGTGCAAATGATCAATATCTGTGAGCACATCAATAGTGAAGTAAATTATGCAAACCAAGACATAAACGACTAGGACAACATATTTTCACAAAAAAATGTTTGAGATTTGGCATTTTTTGGGAATAACCCTTAAAATTTTGTATTCTTATCAAATCTTTTCGAAGAGTATTGAAGAGATTTTACCTTCAAACTCAGCCTTGAGTTTGTTGGATTGACATTCCTGTAAAGCTGTGATCAAAACTTCTCTTTCTTCAGAAGTTAATCGTACAGCTAATTCCTTAGCTTGAGTCTTGGAAAGAATTCTATGTATGGCACCTGCAGTAACACCTGCAGAAGCACTACCATATCTTTGTTGGTGAGAAAAGCTCAAATTGTAAGAATTGCTCTTTGGAGTGCATGAGCCAATCCAACTACATAAACTTCTACTATTATGCTTGAATTTTGGGTTCATAAATATTCTATCCAACGTCATCATGGAAGTTGGATAACGTCTGCCAGTGCATCTTCGAGAAACCACTGATATTGATGTGCACATTTTATAGAATTGTTAACTCTTAACCGCTCTTATTACAAATTATTCATCTATACTCCGAGGTAAGTGTAATTTTTAATAATTACAAAGCTCAATAGAGCAAAATACGACGTGAAGTTGTTTTTTTGTTTGAATTAAATTTTCTAAGCTGTACGATGACTCTACTGATGAACCCATCGCGTTCAATAGTACCGATGACGATAGATCTTGCACTTAATTAAATGCCGTCGCGAGTCGCGAGTTGTGATTTCCTTCTTGACGAGTCGATCGCGAACGACTGCTGGGTAAGTTTATAATACGAACTTGAAGCATACAATATATATAGTAGTATAAGCAGAACTGTGGCACGCTTCTGCAACTAGTACTGCACTTCGATTTTGGAACGGCGCGGTTCGATCTCCCCACCCACGTAGACGAGGCGATTCTTTACGAAAATACAAACGCGGATTGGATGAGGATGCAGGTAAGAGCAGCATAGCTGCCACGGAGAGAGAACTGTGTACGGTGCGCCGAGCGGCGAACTGCTGCAGCGATCAACATATTCTACGTGACGCACGACACGTTTCTGACGTCATGCGGGTGGTGAGCTGCGCTTCAAACAATTTAATCACACGCCCTATCGTTTGTCAAATCTAATTTCAACTCAAGGAAGAACCGTCCGTCCTCGTATTTGCTTGCTTATTCGTATTACTATCGAATCCATGGCAGTGCTATTCAGAATTTCTTTTCAAATCGAATACTAATATTTAAATAATACATAAACATACGGTCAAATTATGTTAGCGATGGCAAAAATAACTACTACAATAGTAGGCATAAAAAATCAACGATTTTCAAAAATTTTCCAATTCACTTAATACTCTACAGTGCCTATTAAGAATGGTCGTTTAATTCCTATCTTTAGTTATTCATATAATTATTCTTAATATTCTATGCACATTGTACTGTGGGAATTATTTTCCTATGCAAGAGGGTTGTCAAGAAAAAGCTTATTAAAAATTAGAAAATATCTATTTGAGTTATTTTATAAAATTTTACATAATCTTATTTATAAAAAATTAATTTTATTTTTAAAAAATTATCCACATAAATTTTCATTTTGAACCATATACTTTAAAAGTTCTGTCCATACTTGAGGAGGCTATAAAATCAGCATTCTTTCCAAAACGCACAGAAGTCACTGAGGCTGTGTGATCATTGAATGTCTTCAACTCTACCCACTGTTTGCAAACATAGATCCTATAATACAATAAAGTTATTTTTAGTTCAACTATTAATATTAAACCAAGAAAATAGATTAATCAAGGCTTATTTTAACATTTACATATTTGTATAATTTAATCATCAGACCAAATTATAATAATAATTACTAATTTATAAAAAATTTGCCTTTTAACATGCATATATAATATTATATAATTAGTTGAATATACCTAACATCTGATCCACAGACAGCTAAGTAAGTACCACTTTGATCGAAACAAATATCTTGTACTTCATAAGATTCATCTAATTGTAAAGTTTTGAAATTTTTCAGTTTACGCAGATCCCATAATTTTACACAAGAATCTTCAGCAGCTGTAGCCAAATAATAACCATTTTCTGAAAAACTTATTGCTGTAATAGGTCCAGAATGTCCAGGGAAATTAGCAACATTAGATTGTTCCTTTAAATCCCAAATTTTAATTTGTGAATCTACAGTTCCAGTACCAAAGATTAAGCCATCAGGGTGAAACTGTGCTGTAGTTAAAGGTTGGCTACCTTGTCCAGATACCTAAGTATTAACACCCAATAAAATTATATAATTTCATTAATAATAAATTGTCAAATTATTTTACCTTTGTAAGTAATAAACCTGTTCGAATATCTGAAAATGCCCAACAGTGATCGAGAGATGAACTGAGCAAGTAATCTCCAGTCGGATGCAATGACAATCCTGTTACAGGTGCATCATGAGTTCTCATTAGTAACATGGTTTGACTAGTATCCACATTCCAAACTCTAACAGTTGAATCAGGAGAAGCTGTCATAACTACATCTTCTGTTGGATGATAAATAACTCTTGTGACTTTTTTTGAATGACCTTTAAGAATGGTGACAATTTGTTCAGTATCTTTGTTAAAAACTACTGCATTTTTATCAGCTCCACCAGTTACAATTCTACTTGTATCTGCTCCATGTATATCTAAAGCCAGAATTCCAGGAGTACTAGCTGAATGAAGACCCTTAAATTAATATTTTTAATGAACATATTATTTTGAATAATGTTATATAATTAGTTGGCAAAGTAAAATTACTGGATGTGATGACAATGTTTCAAATGATTTTATTGTATCATGTGTAGAAAGATCTTCTGGAATAGATCTGCCTCTACGTTTTCTTTCTTGAGTCAAAACTGTTGCTTTCTCTTGTAATTTTTCGATAATGTCTTCAGTTATTCCTGCTTGTTCGTCGGGTTGTGTAGCTGTTCCACCAGCTTCCATAGCTAATGCCTTTTAAAAAAATTTTAATAATAATTAAAGCAATTACTAAGCATCATGAAGAGTATTTTAGTATATTTAAACTTACTGGTTGAGGAATGTTTGCAGCTGAAGTTAATGGTTTAATCATGGCTAATGCTTCTTTAGCTGCAGCTGCTTCCTTAGTGAGTTTTGTTATAGCTCGACAAACAGAATCATGTTGATAGAGGCTTTGCTGTAGTTCTGCACGAGATGCATGAACTTGCTGTTTAACTTTGAATGACGCTAAAGTAACAGCGTCATATTCATCTTGTAAATCTTTTAAAACATTTGGAATTGATGTTGCTGATGGTGGATTTGGCTTGAGGCATGCATCAGCTACATTAAACATTAAAGGTCGATTAAAATCAAGTGGTTGGGACTCAAATTCTTCAAATTACTTACTTTTAACTTCAATAAGTTGGTCTACACTCAAATCGATGCCATTTATCGGATCACATCCATTCTCTATTATATATTTTTCTATAACACTTTTTTCAAATATATGACCGGATACCGGTGAAACCACCGGTTCTTCGGGAACTGCATTAGTAACTAAAGCATAAAATATTACATAAGTATATTATGAAGTACTTATTCAAATCGAAATTTAATTACGTGCTCGAGAAATCAATCGTTATCAAATTTTAATCAAAAGTTAAAACAAATAAAGGTTTAAAACATAACCAAATTTTTTTTTAATTACAACGCGAAATAGCAAACATAATTTTTTGACAGCTACAACTAGAAAGTACCATGTATTCTAAGAGTAGAAAAAAGCAATTATCCAATGACGAATAATTTTATAACATTTTAATTTACTCACTGGCACACTGCAACATTTTATCACACTTAACGAGTTTATCCCTTAGCAGTTACAACTCACAACTTACAGTAGTTATTAGAATGTATACAATAGTTACCAACTGTTCTCTTAGTTTGCAAAGTGTAAATATCGTAGCAGACGACAAAATTGCATGTACTGTACTCTGTACTTGTCAATTTTCAGTCGTCATGATCAGTCTGGACTCTGGCATACTTTCTGTGCGCAGCAGCTGGTAAGACTAAACTAGACACCTTCCAAAACATGTAGTTGAAACACTGATTCTCCTGCTCGAAATATTTTAATGATATGTTAATCATTTTCTAAGATGTACACTTTACTTAGTGGGTTTTATCGGTATCTTGTTCAGAAAGACGAGTACTTCATAGTTATTTTAGGACTTGACAATGCCGGCAAAACTGTAAGAAAATATTTAATTATGAGCTAACCTGGACATTCGTCAAAATATTGTAAAACACGAGCTAATTTTTCTCTACAATAAAGGTATTTTTCTATTCAGACTTACTTGGAAGCTGCCAAAACAAAATTTACAAAAAATTATAAAGGCATGAACCCTAGTAAAATAACTACAACTGTAGGTTTGAACATTGGTAGAATTGATACCGGTGGTGTGAGACTCAATTTTTGGGACTTAGGAGGTCAAGAAGAATTACAATCACTTTGGGATAAAGTCAGTAATAAGATGCGTTTAAAGAAATTTTAATGTAATTGTAAATATTTAATAGTTTATTGCTTTCAAATATAGTATTATGCAGAATCACATGCAGTGATTTATATAGTAGACTCATCCGATAGAGATAGAATTCCTGTATCAAAGGAAACTTTTGGTAAATAATTGATTTTCATTTTGATGAAAAAATTATTTAATCAGTTAACTGATGTTTGTGGTAAAATTTTTAGATAAAGTAATCTCTTCGGAACATCTTCAAGGGGTGCCATTATTGGTTTTGGCTAATAAGCAAGATATACCAGACTGCATGGGTGTAAGAGATGTGAAGCCCATATTTAACCAAAATGCTCATTTAATTGGTCGAAGAGATTGTATGGTAATGCCAGTTTCTGCATTAACTGGGTAATTACAATATTTTTTATTTTATTAATAAATTTAATAGCTTTTCAAGTTTCATTATTGAATAATTTAATTTTTATTTTCACAGAGAGGGAGTAAATGAAGGAATAAATTGGTTGGTCGATTGCATCAAACGAAACAACGATATTAGACCTCCAAGAAATCAAGACAATAATGGTTTATCATGATATTCCATTCCATAATAATTTTGTAATTTAGTTTTAAATGTACATGTATAAAATTAGATTTATCCTTCAATATTAGATATTATTTTTATTTCTTAATTCTCAGATGTAATCTTACAACACAGGTAAAAACTTTTCTTCAGTATGCATAAGATGAAAATCTATCCGGAAAAGTTGAAAATCGAGTAGACCTTTTTTGCAGAATTTTTGCAGAATTTTTACTTTCAACTTTCATTAATAAAATAACATAAAAGGGAAACGATACACCAGTGAATAAAACATTTTCACCAGTAAATGAAACCATTATAATTCATAATAATATATTCAGAAAGTTGTTAAAAACTATTGAAATATTTAGTATTAATGCTCAGTTATATCATAAAATTTTACTAACGATGAATTAGTTCAGTATAATTAAATTATATTAATTTATAAATAAAGTTTCATTCACTGGTGCGTTTTCAATCACTGGGGAGGTGACTCTAAATTAGAATTACCAAAGGTTTCTATTTCAAAAACTCTGCTCTGAGCCTTGCGCATAGTGCCAAAATGCTATTGTGCAAACTTTTTCCACATTTTTAGGGCTCAAAGATGCCAATTTTATGTTGAAAGTGTAGAATGACATTTAACTGTAATTTATATCACATAAATGCAAAAGAGGAGTGAATTAGTGTATAACTCTCCTTAAGATTACAAAATCAAAATAATTAGTTTGCGCATTTTTACACCTTCAGAAAGAGGATATAAGTATATAACGATTTTTCGTGACCGTTTTTGGCGCCCCTTAAAAATTAGTGTGGGTGCCACGGCACCCCTGGCCCCCATACTGGCCCAGCCAATGCTAAAAAGCCTTCGTAATTCGTTTGAAATAACCAGATTCTCGAAGGCGATGTAAATAGACATTGAAACGCGTAGCTCATACAACGAGAGGTATAGTAAGGCGCGCGTATACGAGAGTTTGCACCTGTCTGATAGGCGGGCCGGTTGTACCGATAAGAGCTCAGATAAATACGCCTCGGTCCGTTTCTTTCTATTTTGTAAATGTATAAACGTCGCGTACAGTGATAATTGATATAAAACAGCGAGTGCCGCGTCGTCGTCGTGGTTGGAGCAAAAGCGCAAACGTCGCGTTACAGGCTAAAAATTTCCTCGTTATACGTTACGGATGACCAATAAATTGTCGTTACCTACATATTGAGATCAAAGTGTTCGATTTGAAGAAAAACAACGTTGTTGATCGTCTTCGTATCATGTGGTCGTATACAGACAGCAACGATATAAGTGTTTTACCGCCGGAGTTTAATCGAAGGTAATGGATCGTGTCGTGTAAGTTAATAACAAGAAACGCAGCTCGAGCTTTTGGATAAAACCCTGTGTCTCGTTGCTACATATTTTAATGACATATCTACTTTCATAAAAAGAAGATCGACGATAAAATGAATTCTTATCAAGCATGACGATGCTTGAATAATGAAATTAAATGCAGATTCGTCATTACTTACTACATAAACACAATCGAGAAAGAAAATGTTTTACAGCAGTTCTTATTCTAGCATCTTTGTGTTTACGTTGCAACGATCAATTTGATATTCTTGTAATTGGTGGAAAAGTCAAATGAACATTCATACAATTTTATTGATTGTATACATTATTGGAAAACATCAATCAAATAATTATAATTGAAACCCAATGTCTTTTGATTTTCCAGATGTTGCAAAGACAACCAATGCAATAAACGTTACGCTTTTGTTGATAATTTACATGTAGACCTTCAAATTTTCATACTTAAAGCTAAATATTAGGAAAACAGTACCTAATATTTCTCTCGAAATTTGATCGGTAAAATTCCAGAACTGCACAGATTTCAAAATTAGATATTTCATAACTAAATATTTAATTATATTCATTTGAATAATTTTTTATAACGCATATTTTTTCTGTGTCAGATTGAAATAGTATAGAGTAACCAAATATTTGTGCTTATCTCTTAAGAAAATCGAATAACAAGTAGTAAGTATAACATGAAAATATCAGCTATCTATTTTTGAATTCAATAAATATGTAAATTATATCACATAATGGAAAGGAAAAAAAAATTCTTTCTACTTCTCGATTTATATTATGAATGATTTAAGTTCCATTTTTTGCTGATTCAAATTTGATCGTACCTTCACTCAATATGATATACTACACATAAATATAAAGATATGTATTTGAGTGAAAAAAGTTGTTAATAAACGCGTGAATTTTAAGAACGACGAACAATCTTTAGAAAAACAATTCGTTCTATAACTTGATCAGTTGATATAAGTTGGTGTATTGCGCATTTTAATTTGTGGGTTCATGTGAAATTTCATGATATATAGCACATACAGTACTGCAGCAAGGCAAGTTTACACGTGGTCAACGTTGCCTGGGTTCAACTTTGACAAGCCACACAATTATAAGTAACGGCTAATTTTCAATAGTACAATAGGTCGCGGTTCATTAGCCGGTTACACGAGTTCCGAGCAATAACGAATCGCTCGCGAGTCGCGATTCGAGAATCGAGTTTAAGCGCAGCCTTACGTTTCAGCTCGTCGTCAGCGCTCTCTCGTATCAGCTGCGAATTTTCTCATTGCTCGTTTTCCTATATACTTGTATTCGTATCATCACAGGTGAACGGTTGTGCGTGGGTGAGTCATTTTTGACCGACTGTGACACGTCTATCTAGACCGTATAAGTATATAATTTTGTCTATGTTCGATAAGGACTATACCCGAACGTTTCATATATAAAATTGCTAATATGCAAAGCAGGCTATTAGCCGGAATTTAATGTTGGTCGATACGCGCAAGTATATCCTATAGCTGCTGTTTTCTGCTGCTGAGCCTGCTATTGCTGCTGGCTTTATTGTTTTGACATTTGATTCAGAGCGCGGTCCGTCAAGTAAGTAAAGAAGAATCTGTCAAATTGTTACATCTCGTATTCACGCCGCGGTGGCTCTAACGCGGCTAGGCTGAAAAGAGTGAAAGGGATTAATAAATGATAACTTTACTGCATTCTGTCTGTCGCCCAGGATCGTAAGCAATATCGCATACAATTTTCGAACATAGTACGAATTAATAAAGCTTCCAAGTTTTATCTTCAATATTGTCGTTTGCGAACGCGAAAGAGACAGAGAAACGAAGAGAGTGCTGAGAGGGGGAGAGAGAGAGAGAGAGAGAGAGAGAGAGAGCGAGAACGAACTGAAGAAAATTAAGGTGTGTGCCTGTGCTAATATACTGATCGCGAGTTGCGAGTTGCGACTGCTCTGTTGACTGTTTCGTTGCTGATAGTGCTATAAACTGCTTTTGTGTTCTTGGAGTCTTTAGGTTAAGGTACTGTTTTTGAATTGTATTCAAGTTATTGGACTGCTTGAATAGTGTGTGTGTGTGTACTGCATTTTGCTGCCAAGTGCTCTACCTAGTAGCCTCTACCTGCCTCCTGTCCAAGAGTCGTTTCGGATAACGGCTCGCACACGTATGTACTTGCTGTCAATGCAGCTCTTAATCAATGAATGCTTGTAATGAAGTAAATCGACGCTACTAGTCGATGATCTTCCTCGATACACGTCGGTAATTAATCAACAATTATCGTCGCCGCTGCGCCTCTCTTGCGTCCGCGAATCTTTGTTAATGAATGCGCCTGTTGTACTGTGCCGAAATTGCAGGTGGCTGTTGTGCTCGTGCTAACATATCTCTTCTTGCGGCTATATCTGCACACTGTATACACTTTTAGCATATGATCGTTCATTTCGCTAAGAACTGAACGCTCGTTATATATAAGTCGCTATACCCTGCCCAAGAACTTACAACAAATAGGTTCTTCGTGTGAGTGTGAGCGATGTTTGCATAGTGAGACAGTAATAGTATGTCAGTGCATTCCTACATTTCTTCATACGTCCTCTTGTATACTCTATCCACAAAGTTTCGATTGTGTGACTATTCTTTTACGATTTTTTCCAACCTGTAATCAACATAGCAGATACATTTCAATTATCTAACAAGTTTCGAAATTTTATTCTGTGTAGCCTCTGAAAGTCTCGGTTTCTCTCTCTTATTTTTATTTTGCGCGACCTATCTTTCAACATTTATCTCGCGAGCGTGGCACATTTTGACACAGCTGTGAAAATGATGGGTGACACTAGTATTACTAGCAGACCTAATACTAATGGTAGGTGGATCGGCCTTAGAAGTGCTGTATTTCATGGTATAACTTAAAGTAATTACATTCCATAAAGTTTCTTTAATGAAAGAATGTCTACTTTCAAGTTGATGAAATAAAATGTACTGAAAGGTTTAAATGAATTTTAAAATTCCGTTTTTACTGTTTTACTTTCCCAATTATGAAATGAAGTAAGCTTTTGTTGTATTAGTCACATTAAAAAAATTGTTACATCTTTTCTATTTGTGTATGTGTACTTTAATTTGCCACAACATTTAATTAACCTTAAGTTAAATGATGTTTACATTAATTTAATTGTATAATGTTACAGTACTTGCAGAGTTTAATTTTACTTTAACCAATAATTCATTGCAATAAATATTTTTTAAATTCCATTTATAATTAACTCTTAAAATTGTTCTTTCTTTTTCTTTTGTTTTTCTGTATGGGTATACATGTGTGTGAGTGTGACTGCTATGAATTATTATTAATTTCAAGTCAAATTTATTGTTAAAATATTTTAAATTATCTTATTTATTATTATGAAAAAATTTAAATATTGTTCCTATAATATGTCTAACAGGATAAGATCCAAGTGCCAGATTTTTTTGCAGTTATTAACAGCAAGTTGAATTGTATTGCTTGTCTTTGCAACTGTGGCTGCATTTTACTGACAGCTGATTCATAATGAATGCCTCAGAACATGGGTAAATAGCCCTAAGAGCATATATTTTTTTAATATTTTTGTTTTTGTATAATTTTAAACAAAATTCAATACCATATACATTTTGAAAAAATATGTTTGAATGTTTACCACAGCATGTGCTCATAATTATTCCAGATTTAACCCTGCCTTTAATATGGCCTCCATTAAACAAGCCATCAATGAAGCGGTGGAAAGAGGTGGGTACACTAATTTGTGTTTTTCACATCACTTTTATTTCATACAGCACAATTCCTGCATCTGATACCTAATGCTTTGCTTATTACATTAATTATATGTTTTATTATGAAGTTTGAGTCAGTATAACATTCATTATTATAAATTATGAATGTAAGAAAATATACTTTATAATTGATAATGTTTCAAATGTATATTGCATTGTTTATTTCAATTTTATCATGTTTTTTTTATCATTTAATTATAAATTTTTTATGTGCATGCTAGCATAAAAAAATTGCTCTTAACGCATTGCTTTCATCTAACCACACAGTGCACTCATAATATATTGTTAATTGCAAGTTTCAACAGTGAGAATGCCAGCACCTACTCGCTTGAGGGACCTAATAAGACAAATAAGAGCTGCAAGAACTGCTGCAGAAGAAAGAACGGTTGTCAACAAGGAGTGTGCATATATCAGATCCACTTTTAGAGAAGAAGATAGTGTTTGGAGATGTCGAAATATTGCCAAATTATTATACATTCACATGTTAGGGTGAGCATGATAAATTTTTCAAATATTCATGAAATTTTCTCATTAATTCTTTTCATCATTTTCAACACAAAAATTATTTTAATTGTAGGTATCCTGCACATTTTGGACAGTTGGAATGTTTAAAGTTGATTGCATCTCCAAGGTTTACAGATAAACGTATTGGATACTTGGGTGCCATGCTCCTTTTGGATGAAAGACAAGACGTTCATTTATTAATAACTAATTGTTTAAAAAAGTATATTTCCATTCAACTAAGTTTGATTGTAAATCTTAATTTGTATGAAATTGTAATTTTTTTTTATTTCAGTGACTTGAATAGCACTACTCAGTTCGTAATAGGCTTGGCATTATGTACTCTTGGAGCTATCGCTTCTCCTGAAATGGCTAGAGATCTTGCTGCTGAAGTTGAGAGATTGATGAAATCTCCTAATGCCTATATTAGAAAAAAAGCTGCTCTATGTGCATTTAGAATTATCAGAAGAGTTCCAGAATTAATGGAAATGTTTTTACCAGCCACCAGAAGTTTGTTGACTGAAAAAAATCATGGAGTTTTGATTACTGGTGTAACTCTCATCACTGAAATGTGTGAAAATAGCGTGGATACATTGAATCATTTTAAAAAGGTAGATAGAAATTTATTGTAACTTTTTTATGAATGCATTTTTTTAGTTTCATGTTATCCATATGTATTTTAAACGACTATCGTCCATAATTTAAAATTAGTCTTAATAGTGAGACGTCTCTTCTAAGTTGTAAGTCCATAAATTTGCAAATTATAAAATTTAATTTTGTCCCATTCAGGATTGCGGCCATCGAGAGGTAATTTCGAAACGCTAATTATTATTTTCGCATGATTCGCTTGGCATATTTTCATACAAATATATATATTTATAAAAAAAGCTTTGCTGATCGAATCTTTAAAATCTCATGTGTAAATACTTTTTCGAAAGCATACTTCGTCATATGAGATAGTATTAAAAAATCGGAAGTTCGATAAATTTCATTGTCAACAAATAATTTATATTATTTCTAATCATTTTTTAAAAACTAGAAATAATCAATGTCAAGTATAGTTAAATATTGCATGTATCAATTTCTTGATTTTACATTGTAAATATTGAAAAAATTTTGTCTACCACTTCTTCCAATATAAAATTTGAACTGAAATTCATATATTGATACATTTTTCGAAATATACTGAAATGTACTATGTAATTTTTGATGTTCACAGGTGTTTAATCTTCTGCACTTAATGTAAATTTTTATTTTACCTAACACAAAATGAACTATCCATTTTTTTCAGATTGTGCCAAATCTTGTAAGGATTTTGAAAAACCTCATACTTGCCGGTTATTCACCAGAACATGATGTGTCTGGTGTATCTGATCCATTCTTGCAAGTAAAAATTTTACGTCTCTTGCGAATTTTGGGACGTAACGATGTTGATGCATCAGAAGCTATGAACGATATTCTTGCACAAGTGGCTACAAATACGGAAACAAGTAAAAATGTTGGCAACACAATTTTATACGAAACTGTTCTTTCAATCATGGATATTAAGTCAGAAAGCGGTTTACGTGTATTGGCTGTTAATATTTTGGGTCGATTTTTATTGAACAATGATAAAAACATCCGCTATGTTGCCTTGAATACTCTTTTAAAAACAGTATATGTTGATACAAATGCAGTGCAAAGACATCGGACAACTATTTTGGTACATAGCTATAGTGCTAGCATATTTTAAAATTCAACCATTTTAAATCAATTAAATTTTTTTTTCTAGGACTGTTTGAAAGATCCTGATGTATCCATTCGACGCCGCGCTATGGAACTTAGCTTTGCTTTAACTAATTCTAACAATATAAGAGCGATGATAAAAGAACTTTTACTTTTCTTGGAGCGAGCTGATCCCGAATTCAAAGCTCAATGTAGCAGTAACATTGTTATGTCTGCTGAACGTTTTGCTCCAAATAAACGTTGGCATCTCGAAACTTTATTCAAAGTTTTAGTTGCGGTAAAATTTTATAAATATCAATGAAAATGTCTAACTATGTAATTTATATTCAGCTGTACTTTGATTTTTTTTGTTAATAGGCTGGAAATTATGTTAGAGACGACGTTGTTGCTTGTACAATACAACTAATTTCAGAAACACAATCACAACAAGTTTATGCAGTTAGTGCTCTTTGGCGTGCTCTAGAAGAAGATACTTACGATAAGCAACCACTGACCCAAGTAGCTACTTGGTGTATTGGAGAATATGGTGACTTAATGCTGTATGGTCCTCATCCCGATGATGCTGATGCTCCTGTTAATGTAATTTTGTCTAAAATAATTTGCCCCCCTGAATTCCTAAAAATGATAATTATTTTTTGCAGCTTACTGAAGAAGAAGTTATTGATGTTTATCACAAGCTTTTGTGGAGTCAACAAAATAGTGTAGTAACGAAACAGTATGCCTTGTTATCTCTCACAAAATTGAGTACACGATTCCAGCGTGGAAACGAGTGAGTCCATATTTGCTTACGGAAATGGTTTCGCTTAAAATTCATTTTATTCATTCTTCAAAATTAACTTTGCTTTCCTGCTTCGAATGCATTATTATTTATTTTAAATGTTTATAGTAACATTTTGCAGTGAGACACTTCCATTTTACAGGAAAATACGACAGATTATTGATACATTTGGTAGCAACTTAAATATTGAATTACAACAACGAGGAATTGAATTTTCTCAATTATTTCGAAAATACGACCATTTACGACCCGCATTGCTAGAGAGAATGCCACCCATGGAAACAGCAAAGCCTCAAGCAAATGGAATTATTGGCGTGGTCAATGGTGATTCCGAAGTAGAAGAAGAAAAAACTCTGAATGTTGAACCTATAAATACTGTTCCGCAATCAGACTCAGTGAGTATTTCTCATTATATTACACTTATTTAGATTTTAAATCTTTAAAATTCATAAATATGAGAAGTTAAAAATTGTCAGACCATTTTACTTAAAATCAAAACTGATTTCTGATATTTTTCTTCTTTTTCAAATTTTCAGAGTGCTCTTCTGGATTTATTAGGTGGTACTGATTTAAGTTCACCAACAACAGTACCAACAGTAATTTCTACTACCACACCTGTTTCCACTTCAAACAACAATGACCTTTTAGATTTACTTGGAGGTTTGGATTTGACAGCTACTGCACCAGTATTGACAATACCACAACAACAGTCTCCTCCGCAATTATTTAGTCCTGCTAATTCAAACTTTTTAGTAGATGGTTTACTTAATTCCTCATCCACACCAATTTCAACTGGTATGTTAATGAAATATTTGATATAAAGTTATAAATTTTTTTCACATTTTGTGAACTCATCTTTCATAGTTCCAGACTCTCCTAGTATGACAGTATTTGACAAACAAGGACTGAAAATAACATTCAAATTGCAAAGAACTCTAGATAATCCGGACTTATTAGTGATTAATATGGCTGCATTAAATTCAAGTTCTTCGCAAATTAATGATTTTCTATTTCAAGCTGCTGTTCCGAAAGTAAAGAATCACTACTCTTAATTATATTTAAAAAATACATTAATGCTAAATTGATATTTATCGTCAAATTTTATAGACATTCCAGTTGCACATGTTGTCTCCATCGGGAACTTCACTACCGCCTTTTGGACAAGTAACGCAAATATTGAAAGTAAACAATATCAATAAGGTATGGTACTTTAGTTTACTAATATGTAAAATTATCTTCAGCATTTTTAGTTTTTTTTTTATTTACAATAGGCGGCCTTGAGGATGCGACTTCGCATATCATATACTGGAGTTTCAGGGCCCATTTTGGAACAAGCTGAAGTAAACAATTTTCCAACCATAACGGTGCAATGACAGCACATGATACAAAAACCAATTGTATATACGCCTGCCTAAATTTTTAAGCGCGTCTTGTATAAATCGATAAAACCAACCAATTTGATTTCTCATTACATATTACAATCGCCGACTTATTTATATATATATATATATAATATATGAAAGAAGAAACATAAAAAATTGCACACATAAGCAAATGTATATGTGTACATACTAAGGAATCTGGTGTAAACATTAGGCCGAGCTATTTCGTACTCAATGCTGAACGTAATATTTTAATTAGACGGTTGCCTGTGTGCGGAATGAACTATTCAATGAAAATTTGCATGAAGCCGATTACTTTTTAAAAGTTTTAATTGTATATATATTATGCCTGCAAGTGAACTCTTATTTTACGCAAAAAATTTGATGATTGCATTATTTTACTTAGTTTGCTCACCATGATTATTCCTCATGTTCACGTTGCATTCCATTTTTTGATATTACCTGTTAGCTAAAAAATTAATTCACGGAATTTATGTGTCTAGAGAATTTTATTGTTGTGTAAAATCACATTTGTCAAACTCCCAAATAGTTTTTCTTATTGTTCAAGTTATTTTTCATAAAAAGCTTAATCAAACAAGATGCTCGTTGTTGGAAGAAAAAAACGAAAAATCCAAAATTTCTCAATGCATAGTAAATTTTTTACTAGAATCCTTTTTTTTTACTTTTTGATTCATTATTAGAGGTGTGCGTGCGAGTACTCGAAAAAAACCTCGAGTACTCGAGTTTTATCGATCATTCAAGAATTTTCGAGTATTCGTCATGTTTTTGGATTTTTGCTAATTAAATGATACATTGTCAAAACTATGAATATCCCCGTGGCATATGCATGTTCCGAAGTGTTATGTACTCGGAGTGCTCGTATTTTTGTATGTATCGACGCTCTTTATGAAAAATGACACGTTTATATGTTAATTTAAATAGAAAAATGTCAATGCTGCGAGTAACTAACACTCAGGAGCATGCACATGCAACGAGGATATTCATTGGTTTGTTAATATTTACTTAGCTGAAACTCAAAAATATGACGAGTACTCGAAAAATCGAGTTCAATCGAATCGAGCTTTTTCGAGTACTCACACACCTATATTAATTGTCAATAAGGTTAAACTTGCTTAATTTTTATAAAAATTCAACATTTTTTTCAAAATTCAGATATCATTACACTAGATATTGGATACTTACATAAATTTTCATTGAACAAAACTTAACTTCACTAATCTTTTGCACATTTCATCTAATTTGTCAATTTTTGCGGTAAATTTATTCATTAAAATAAATTAACATACATCAATTTTTTGTTATGCGATAAAAATTATCCTTAGTTATAGACCTTGATGAATTCGATAATTGACATATTTTGAGATCAAAAGAATCTGTAACATTTATATACTTTAACACAACTTAAATTTTTTTTTAATGTTATTGAGGAACTCTTTACTTTTAATGAATTCTATTTGCTAAAAAAAATAATATAAATGTTGTCCCATATGTGCAATTTTGAACTTAGTATGATTTTTATATTGTGCATAGGAATTAGAATTTTGAAGATAAAATTAATGCAATTGTTGGCCAGGGAACAAATGTGTAATGGAATGTATTTTGTTGAATCATGGGGTGCTAAAAATAAAAAAAAAATTATTTAAAGATTTGGATGCAAAAAATTGATTGAAAAGAGTAATAGTTTATAAATTCTATTCTTTAACTTGTGTTATTAATATCACAAATATGTTTATAATTTTAATCATAATTTGATGTTATAAAACAATTTACTCTGTTTTAGAATTTTTTGTTTTCTAATAACATTTTAATCTGAAAATTAGTAATTGTATTTATTGTATACAGTAATAAAACAACTGATTTCTCTGTGATAAGATACACACATTTTTAAGACAATATATTATCATACTATATAAAAGACAGTTGTAGTAATTTTATTTTATTGTTATGTATCATGTATTATGATCATGTTGGTAAAAAGTTTCAAATTCATTTTACTAAATTCATCTGATTGTTCATAATTGTATTTTTCTAAAACGGTAATATAAAATTTTAAATTATAAGAAATTTTATGTAATTATTTCAACATCAGAACGATTGAAATATTTTTAGGCCAGAAACGATTGAAGTATATAAAAAATATTACATGTTTTAGCTCCGTCCCTTGTATACTGTGCGTTCAGTCAGATCGAATCATAAAAATAAAAATAAAACTAAGTAAATGCAGAAGGGCAAATATTCTGAGTGGCCTTGAACTGGATCTATGGTATAAAAACAGCTTTTCAATGAAATTCATTCTGCCTACTTGACAATTATTAGTTTTTATAAATATCAATAAAAAAATATATATTATACATAAAAAAATATTAGGTAATAAAAACAATTAATGATAAAAATGTTGTATATAATTTTAGTAAATATTAACATGTGAAGATGAAATGTATTTTTATTCCATTGAAATACTTGTTTTTTGAGAATAAAAAATAATACAGATGCAAATCGTTCAAAATCTCTTATTGGAACAATTTTTTATTACTAAAGTTACACATTAAATGTTGCATTATATTTAATTCTATTTCTTATCTTACATATTATTTCTTAACAAAATTTAAAGTTACATTATGAGTTGTCAGTAGAAGCTTCCTTAATGCTTCTTAATCCAACCTGATTGAAAAGCCTATCTTTAATAATTTGTGCCATCAAACCATGAATAACTTCTATTGTAGTTTTACTGCTATCTTTTGTAGCTTTCCCAAGCTTATTAACATTTGCCCGATCCTGAGCTGTTTCTAGTGAAGGTCCTTCCAAAACAAAACCTCTACACAAAGCTTGCTCTGATTGTTCCAGTTTATCAGATAAATCAAATATTTGACCAGTTGTATAGTCTGTATTTGTTAACAAACTTGAGGAACTTAGGGTGTTCACCCAATACTTATTCCACAATGAATCAAGAAGCCTTCTATCTAATGACGATTTAAAATATGTAACTTCAAGTGAATAGTATTGTTTACAATGAACTCCAAAATCTTCAATTTTATTCAACGGTATTGTTTGATATTCTGAAGGTTCTTCATTAGCTGGTTTATAACCCTGTTGAATAATCAAACTAACATTTAAACACAATTCACATAATAATTCATTAGCAATTTTTTTGATTTACCTTTGGATATGTTCTGAAAGCTCCTAAGCAAACTTTTCCAGCTGAAATAGTTCTTACAGGATCAATTACAATTGCAACAAACGGTTCTTGAAAATTTTGATTCAACATTTGGGTAGACACATCTATTCCAGACAACCAACACCCATATCCTGGATGACTATGATACCAGCCAATAGCATTTTCTTGCCTCCCAACCTATTAAGTCAGTATTTATGATTTATATGAACAATTCACATTTCTTATGAAAAAATCTATTAAGTCCGCAATGTAGAATTCTCAAAATCATTAGACACGTATTTTTTTTGTTTTTCAATTAATCAATTATCAACAGAGGTATGATCAGTTAAAAATGAGCGTGACATCACAATCATAGTACTTCTCCCGTTATATTTACTTTGATTGTGACGTCACGCTTGTTGTTTCAAATGCTATATCTCCGTTAATAATTAATTAATTGAAATACGATAAAATACGTACCCAATGATTTTCAGAAATCTACATTGCGGACCTAGTCGATTTTTTCATAAGAAATGCAAATGATACGAGTAATCATTTGAATAGATTATTTACTTGTTTCGCAGCATCAATGTAAGCAGTCATATATTCATAAGCTTGAGCTTGTGCATTCACACGAGTTTCAGTTCCTTCCACTGGTAGTGCAAAAGAGTCCATGACCAGCATTGTATTTGCAGTAACTTTACCAAGCAGAAGACCCATTACTTCTAAAGTTCCACCAGAACGAGCATGCATAACCATTTTTAATAAAGCTAATGCAGATATCCTGATATCTTTAAAAAAGTGAGGACTGAAACAAGCATTATTATTGAATGAATTTATTATTCAATGAAACTCATATAATTTTAAGTATTTTCAGTGATTACTCTTTCTCCCAAGGTTTTGCAGTGAGGATGTCTTGTTGCTCTTTTTTGTCGTAGCGATAAATATCATCAATGGTATTAATTGATTCAATGTTGTTTGCTAATTCCCATGTTTTTTGAGCAATGCTACTTTGTTCACTAGAGGCACTGGCCATGATTACAATTTAATCCAAGTCACTGCAAAATGTCAAAAGATTATTTTTCTATTTGTGATCAATTATTTAGCACTCATTGTGAAGATACAACCGATTTTTACCATATAACAATACAAAAAATTCATTCATTTAAATAGTTTGAAGTTGAAAACATATTTTATTCTAAAAAAAATTAGATAAACGGATTATAGCGATCTTACAGAGGATTGTATAGGTTCGTAAATAAAATTTAACCTAACAAATGTAGCTCTTACACAGTAAACTAAATTGAAAGCACTTGTGCCGACAGAGTTTAAGTTCATACGAGTTACATCTATTAACCCTTAATGAATAGTTTTAACAGAAAATTGTAAGAAGTAATATATTATACCTTATTTTGCTTTTTCAGAGACAAACTTTCGGTATGAATTGCGAGCGGATGTTCAGAGAATCGTGTACGGTCGTATGTTGTGTTTATATTATAATTCATCATAAATATGTGAGAGAAGAACACTAGCGCCAGGAAAATATGCGATTGTCGCGAGTGTTTGTCATTCGCATTTCGCGCATCTATTGATTAAATACCGGTCACTTGAGGTTCTTCATAGATAGAATGAAAAACATTATATTAAGCATCGGATAGCAAAAATTTAAGTTTTAATCTCTTATTTTTTTGAGTGTAAGTTATTGTTAATAAAATTCATGGAATAATTAGTATTTCCGAACCGTTTTTAAATTATGCGCGTATTTAATAAACGAGTCGTATATAGATCTACACAAGATCTTTTGGTTTATTTTTATTAATCAAAATAAGAAATTTCTGAAAAAACGTCTGAAAAACCGAGCGAGAGTTTAGAAGAGCGCTAGTAGATAGGTAGAGCGCTATTCCACTTTAAATTACTGCGGAACTTTGCTGGAGCTTCATGGTTGTTGGCTCCGAACGAGCTGGTCCGTTGTCACTTGAACATACTAACCGTGCGTAAAAAATGGCTCACTTTATGAATTAATTAAACAAGCTTCGTAATCTCTAGTTACTTATATGAGTAAATCTCGTGAAATTTTAATATTTTACTATAAAAAAATAGTTATTTATGTAACAAGTGCCCAAAAGGCGTTTTTGGGCACGAGTGTGCGGAAAAAGCTGGGCACGTGTTGCATACAAAATTTTATGCAATAGTAGGCGAAAAATACGTTCATTTAAATGAGGCATTTTACCGCACACCCGTGTCCAAAATGGGGCATTTTACCGCACACAAGTGTCCAAAAACGCTTTTCGCGCACTAAAAAATGTGCGAAAATAGTTATTTATGTAACAAGTGCCCAAAAGGCGTTTTTGGGCACGAGTGTGCGGAGAAAGACACGAGTGCCGGCTATGCCGGCACGAGTGGGTGTTTTTTCCGCACACTGTGCGCAAAAAGCTGGGCACGTGTTGCATACAAAATTTTATGCAATAGGAGACGAAAAATACTTTAATTTAAATGAGGCGTTTTACCGCACACCCGTGTCCAAAATAAGGCATTTTACCGCACACAAGTGTCCAAAAACGCTTTTTGCGCACTAAAAAATGTGCGAAAAAAGACATTTTTCGTCATACTATTGCATAAAAAACATTTTTCGTCATACTATTGCATAATAGTACATTACGTAACTGAGGCGGGGGGTTGTCTATCTTGCAAACTGACACTCTTGCAAGATAGACAACCGCCTCAGTTACGTATAGTTTTTTTCATCATCGAGATCAGGAAGTCGATTTTAAGATTTTCCCGCACGACGCGGCGTGCAGAAAATAGAACTTTCCGCACGCTGAGATGAAAAATTTTTATAGCACTGCGTGGCATAAGTTCACGTCTATGGCACGCTTTTCTGTGGCATAATTCTGGCACCGCTGCGTTCGCATCACACTCGCATACGCTCGTGCCCTAACCTCGCTTCACGCTACCAGAAAGTGCGGACTCATGACTCGGGAAAGGGGGCATACATGTGAACTTTGCACAGTGCTATAAAATGTTGTCGCTTGCTCTCGCTGCGCTAAACTACGCCGTGCCAAAAAGTGTTACTTATATCGCACTTGTACCGTAAATTACTATTTTGGGCCGTTCGAATTCACAGAGAATCGGCCATATTGGTTCTGTGTGTCACCCGTGGCGCCCCCACTTTGGAAGCATTTCCCATGTTATATCGTATGAGGAGAAATTTAGTTTGGTGAGCGCCGCTGGCATAATTGAAAGTCATTTCCATAACACTGCATGTTAAAATCGACCCCAGCGCTGCTTCGAGCAAATCTTCAAAAATTTTCAAACAAATATTTTACGTTGATATGAACAATGAGCAATTACTTTTACCTGTTAGCTGAATCCACGATGAATAAGTGTTAACCAAATTTTGGAAATATTGAACAATTTGATAATTTGTATAATATTTACACACTCATTCTAAAATAAAAGTACTAAATTTTATTGTAAATGTTTACAGTTAGGTAAATTATGTTTTGTACTTGTATCTACATAGCTTATCTAAAAGTTACTTGTATCTTATAATTAAAATAATTTACTCTTAAAAAATAAAATTATTGTAACATATAAAATTATTTCGAAACCTAAATTATAGATAAAAAATTGTACTTTGGTTAAAACTTTTTTACAGACAATTAACATGATTTTGATACGAAGGAAAATCTTGGCGATTACGCAAAAATTTAGTTGAAAGTTACAAGGTTATGAGTTAACAATTATTTTTTGTCACATTGTGACATTCGTGTGATTTCTGTTGCAATGCAAAAGCACCTGCGGTGTCTTTTTATGATAAAATCATTCATATACACGCATTAACGGACAAAAATATTTTCACTTATAATTATTTGGTCAAATTGAAAAATAGTTGACTATAATATTCTTTGCATTTTACAAAATTTGAGCTTGATGGAGGATGGTGTATAGGGAAATAAATGTCCATGCCCAATTCCAAATAATGCCAGATGCTGACGATGTCGAAGGTAGGGTACCATCCGAACGTTTTCCGGCTTTGACGCTACATACGTCACCGCACTGCTCGCCATCGCAAATATCGCAAAGCGTTGTCATCTTTGGTTCGTAAAAAACTCGCGCTCTTCTTGCTAAAATTTCAATGATATATTTTTCACTATGATTGTATAGCTCTCTTGTTGAAAAAAAATGCTTTCAAACCCATAGGAAAAAATCGCGAAATCCCTGCAAAAATTCTTGAGGGAATTTCGCGATTTTTTCCTATGGGAAGACTTACATGAATCGTAGTAATCATAAATAGAAACTGGTACAGGTTTTTGCTTGGCCACTTTATGTATTCTATAAGCCGAAACTGTCGGACAGTATTCTTTGTCATGCACCATCTATAAAAAAGATTAATTTTTTGGTATACTTAGAATTAAACTGATGGCACCATTGAACACTATTACATACCTTATCGAAATACAATACAACCATGGTTTCGCCGTTTTTCGTTTCAACTCGTTTCACGTGTTGCGTCAGTTCCAAGCTTGGTAGTGCATCTGGATCAACCGTAAAACCAGATGGAAAACTAACTTCCATAACAGCCATGTTGCTCTCGTTAGATTCTTTTGTTGGAATGAATCTGCGAGGAATTATAAGAAATAATTAGCTACCAAGTTTTAAAAAACTCTTTTAGGTAAATGAATAAGGTCATTTTTACCCAGAACATATAGACAACTGAAGGTGGTCGTTCGTAGAAATCTGATCGACCTGCGGATCTAACGTGAAAAGTGGAAATGCTCCGGTGACATTGAGATTATAGCGAGATGATACTTGTATAAGAGAAAAACCTGTTCCGGAAGCCGTGATGTTGATTGCTCGCGTTTTACTTTCAAGCTATGAGAAAAAAATATTTTGATCTCATTGAAACTTGTATCATACAAAGAAGCTTCAACTTTTTTTATATTGAATGTAAGAAAAGTATAATTAATATGAATTAATACATTTTGTACATTTACTTACTATGTGCTTCTGAACAACCATGAAATTTCTCGAATTTATATGTATACTCTTCTGTTCTCCTGCATCAGTTTCAAAACTGACAGTGACATCGTAAACGCTAGTTCGTAGCCTTTCACCCAGTTTTGATAGAGCATACAATCCTACGACGGTATCCTGAAAAAATGTTGAAATTAATTTTGACAAAAAAACTGTATACATATTTAAGTCCGCTAACAACACATGGTGACTTGATTTTTTAGAGCGATTTCTACATATTACGTTGACGTAAAACCGTACTATTTATAACAGTTTTTTTATTATTAAAAATATGAAAATGCTATTTTCATTTTACAAAACAATGTTATTTTTATTCTTCATAAAAAAATCAAACTTTTGTTATATTCCTGACCTTCAATTAAAAATAATACTAACACAAAAAATGTTACATTTACATATGATCAGTTTGCTCTAAAGCTTTTCAAAACTCAAAGTATTCGATTTTCAGTATTCATATTGTAAATAAAATTTTTGTCAAACTAATTTTAAGTAAATCAATATATGCGTCACTATACCTGAGTTGAAGTAAAGCCACCTTCGACGTTTCGCTGCTTCACTAACCACTTCATAATGGCAGTCGCATCGGACAGCTCGTTCCTTCGCAAATACGTTAGCAAGGCATAAGACGTCATCTCAACATCGACGCTGCGTGACAAAGTGGACCAAGGATTTTTATCAGCGTCTTCGGCCAGTGGCTTCGTCCACCACTTCATTCCGTCGCGTTCTTGGACACGCGAGGCAAGTCGCCGGTAGGCCTCGTCCGAGTAGGCGTTCCGGGCTAGACTCAGTACATATGCGCAAATGGACAACGCGTAATTGTCGTCGAGACCTGGCATGTTTCGTACTACGTATTCGATACCTTTGAACACTACATTTCGGTAGCGGGCGTCGAGGCTCTGTGGATGCGTTCACGTGTGAATACAAAAAACTATGTTGAAAAAAAAACGCAAGCTTATAGATACTCACATCACCCTCGAGGAAAGCGCTTAAAACGTAAGCGGTGAGGGCCAGGCCCCGAGCCGATCCACCCTGCATATCTTTGTGACTGACTATACCAACTTCCGGAAAGCTGCCATTGGCTGCTTGGTTTTCAGCGAGCCATTTCAAAGCTTCGTCGACGATCTTCGAGTCGACTGTTATGTACTTGTCAGCTTGTTTGAAGGATTTAGCGACGAATGCGGTTAACCTGCGATTAGGTCATGTATGTTTCAGTAAATTTTTTAATTATACTTATAATTTCGTCAACTCTCAAATGGACGTACTGGGACACTCGAGAAAAAAATTAACTTTTCGGTGGTTTGGCCAACAATACGCTTTGGTAAAATTGGCTGTTGTTTCGAACGCGAGTTTTTAATTTTTCTGGAAATCTCTTCTAAAGTGTGATTAAGGGAGTTTACGTAAGAAAAGTCAAATAAAAACATTTTGAAACGAAGCAAGTAAAGATTATCTGTAAGGCTTAACAAATTGTTGCTTTTTATTTGTTTTATGGCATTATCAACGAATTCTACTCGCAGCGTAATATGAATTAACTTACTAACCGCGTTGCAAGCGATGTAAACAATGTACACTCGCCACATATTTTTTTGTTTGCTTTTCCCGAAAAAAGCGATTTCACACTTTGGCAAGAATTATAGAAGGATACCGATGCTTTTTTTCATAAACACTGCAGGGCTAATTTTTTTTCTCGAGAGACCCAAAACAATTCCGACATACCAAGTACTTCCGCTTGGATCGGCTTGACCAAAAGCACTAAATGAGCCGTCAGTATGTCTATAAGTCAATTCTTGCTGATAACCAGTTTCAAGATATCTTACAGCTTTACTCTCGATTGCCGGTGACAATTGATTTGTGTTCTAAAGTATTACATCAAAATAAAAAAAATTAATATTTTTCGACATTCATGCAATTTTCAAATTTTGATTGCAACAATTACCTTCAAATATTCCAAAATAACAATGTTCGGAACAAAATTAAGCATATTTTGCTCTCCGCAGCCAAATGGCATTTTAATAAGCTTATCGAGATTTGGAATACTTGGTCCCAATATGTCGCCCACTACCGACACTTCCACATAATCAGAGTCGGTGACAAAGTGTTTTGGAATATCGACAGTCACATTAGTTCGTATTGTATCAACTTCGCGCAGGTCGGCAAACACAACTTTGTTTCTATACTGGGTTTCTCCTTCAGCCTGTTTATTAATAATTATCATAAAAATTTTTCTGGGGTCCCCTTGGGAATGGCTAAAGTTTTAAAAAATGAATGAATAATATTTTCCTAAAAACTATACCTTAACGAGTAATGGGAACTCAATCGCATCGCCGGCTACCACGCTGGTAGCTTTAGCTTTTATGGTCATGTATCCAATTTTCAACGGGATAACCATGAATGATACGCTTTGTGCTGAGTCGGCTCCAACATATACTTTCTTTGAACGGTATAGTTCGAGGCCTGCTTGATTATAAAAAATACTAGGTTTAAATATTGAGATAACAAATTGGAAAAATAATCAATCCATACGTACGTCGATTTTCGTGAACCTCATTAGACACTTCGGCAAAATCGAAATCGCCATTATTTTCAAGCACAATTTCCACAGACAAGTCCTTATTCATGTAGTTAAATACGACGATCGATATGGCGACAATTTCTCCTCGAATCACAGAGTAGGGTAAATTTAATGAGATGAAAAAAGGCTTGAATACTCTCAGCTAAACAAAAGTTTTAAATTTTGTGAAAATTGATAAATAATAGATACTTTATACAACCTTGTACGTTTCCTTAAATTCAGTTATACCTTTTTAGGCTGCTGCATGAGGCCTAGTCCAAAAGCAGGATCTACTGAAAAACCTGTTAAAACCCAAGAAGTAATCGAGTCGGGTACTGTCCTTCGAATTACGGTTTTTCCTTCGAACCTGTATTAATACAAAGCAATATCAATAACTGTTTTATTAAAATCAAAAATCTGCCTCAATAATTAGGACGTAATTTAAATAAAAGAAATGTAGAAATTGGCAGGGAACAATAACTACTGATATTATGTACATTTCTATGTGAACGATTGCTACAAGACGAATTTTGAAGAAATGAGAAGTTTAATACAATACTAACTCGTAAAAGATCTTTGTTAATAAAAGAAAATTTAATTTTTTCGCAAGTTCTTGCTCACAGTTTTTTACATCATCACAATTGCTTTTATTATTAACATTATTTTCAAATATTTTCGTGAAATTGTACAAATTTTTAATACAATTCCCGAATGTCTCATTTTTAATTGTTTTGAAATAAATATGTGAATTTAAATAGTAAATAATAAATCATGTTTTATAATTTATATTTTTATGATCACCTTTCATGTTAAATATTTAAAAAAATATACAAAAAACAATATTAAGGGTTATTCTCATTAAAAAAACTGTTAGCCTACAGACTTTTTTATCCATCCAAAAATCTCTAAAAACGCCTTTTCACAAAATTCCAGTCTTTTTAAGTTTCAAAATTAAAATATTGATTTGTTGTATACAAGTATCAACAATTCCATGAAATATACAGTGGACGTAAAATAATTGTGTGTTTAAACAATTCACTGACTGTTCAGGCATTTCAAATTGTTATTTTATTGCGTATTTAAATTTTAAAGGGTTGCATTGGAAATTATAATTGTAATTGGTAATAATCTTTACTGATAAAATCCTTAACTGAAAAAAGACATCCAAAATTTAAGTAAAGAAAACAATAATGTTCTTAAATTTCTGCTAAGTCTTGTTTAAATACATAACTATTATTGTACATACGTCCATCGTTTATTCATTAACTAGTTGGTACTCATCAACGACGTATTAATATTTTCAAACTTTCAAATTTCAAACTTATAATGTTTGCCAATTAGTAGTGAGACGTTGTTTAGACATTGTTTGATGAATAAAAAAAAATTTTAAGCAAACAGTTGTTTTTATTGAGTACAACCCTTATTGAAATTCGTGTTATTTTTTCAAATTATCATAATTCGATTCTGTAAGTCTGATATGTAAAAATTATGTATAAGGTGCCTAAAGTATGTTTATGTGAGTGACAATTTTTTACGAATAAAGAGCATGATCTGAATTGAACAATAAAAAATGAATGAAAAAATAATATGCTAAAGTTTGCTGTCCGCACATAGTGATTTTCAAAACATTTAAAGCGAGATTTTTGTAAAAATGTATAGAAATGTCGAAAACTAAATAATAGATTGAGAAAAAAAATACCCTGAGGACATATTTGAGAAAAGCCAAGTGTCGGAGATATCATGCATGAGGAAAACACGAGGTCTCCAAGGAGCTAGTGGCACATAAGAAAACGCATATCGCCCGGCCCAAGCAGGTCTGGTGCCAAATTTGTGTTTCACAGGTGGTCCGATATCCGGACGCAGTGTCGATAAGCCAAGACCTCCGATTGCGCTTAGCGGGCCTCGCAATCTATCATCCGAGTTCACTGTAATGTTTATAACCCGCCTGACTTTATACGTACGTCAACTCGAAAATAAACTTATAATTATATATATAATTATCAATTTTATATAAAAATTCTTTAGAAACAAAACAATAACGTTCTGATATGCTGGTAAAGGAAGACGTCATTTCAACAAATAATATCTAATTTCCACAATGTGTTTTTATTAAAATTTTTACTTTACCTTGGAAAAAGCTTTATTATTAATATTGACTTTTGAAATTTTGAAAAATACTTTTTTTGTACATGTCATTCCCGAAATCTTTTTTGTTTAATAAAGAATGAATATTTAATAAGATTACCCGCATAATAAATAAAATGTAAATTAATTTTTATCTAATTCATTTTTTAACCAGAATGTCAGTTCTTGATAATAATAAATTATTCATATTATTTCATCTTTATTTCGATCAATAACCAAAACAATGTAATTTTTCAGATACTTTTTATAACTTTAAAAAAAAAATTACTTTGTAATTACGCTCGAACTACAAAAATTGTAGCAATAAAAAACAGTATCGCGTACCACCACCTCTTATAATATTAAAAATGCTATACCTCCACCACTTGCTTACACCGTGATTAGTAAAACAGCCATGAAAAGCTAAGATATATGTTAAATCACAATGCGCTATGATAATTATGAAAATTTTGATGGAAAAATGTACGATAATGGTGATGGTGGTGAGACTAATTTTACATAATTTCATCTCAATTACCGAGTATCGATTGATTCCCATATCCAAGTTTCGGGAAAATTCTTGCGAACTTTCAGATTGGCTGGAGAAAATGAAGAAAGTGGCATGGGGCCCGCAGCCGCAGCAAACATCACTGAATCCACACTATTTCGGTAATATACTATGATGGCAATATAGATGAAATGTTAGACATGATGAGCCGAGTGAAAGATTTTTTTTACCGGTTGTTACATTTCAAAATCAAACGTACACTTTCCACTTTAATTATACAAGTCAAATTTACCATAAAATATAAAAGTCTATGTTTGAGGTAAAAAATTTAATCTTCGTTACTTGATGGTTACCCAGTACCACTAAAAATTACGATTCTATTATATTTACTGTGTTATAAATACAAGTGCATTATTAAGTTGCAGTTCATAAGTTGTTTGAGCTTTGATAGTATTATATGATCATATATTACGACAAAATCTTTTACCTCATGAATGCGAAAAATCTTTTATGAAAGAAAAGTGCATAAAAGAAAAAAAATAATTACAAATGGAATAAAGTGTGAAATTTTCTAATTTATCATAGTAAAACTACTGTACTATAATCAATACGACAATTGACAAGTAACGGAATTATATGGTGATTTGATGAATGATTTTTGTTATGCGAATGAGCTAAGTTTAATTTATGCCATTAGTTAAAATCTAAATTTTATTGCAACCACTCTGAAAAATGATTTTTTTCATATTACGGTGTGTAAAATTTCAATACGTACTGAGCTGCGGATTTTCATGAACATATCCATTTGTTAAGACCACGGTTCCAGTTTTCTACATAAAAGACACAAAAAAGTTAAAACTTATTTCGAGAATAAATTCACACATATAGGATGAAATTATAAATGCTTATTTGCAAGAGAAACATTTTTACTGATGTACGAACCCGAAATATCTCCTCGGTGCTGGCGGAGCCAGGTCTCATCCATGCTTGTGCGAAATTTTCATCTTCGTTCGATGAAAAATCGTTCGAGTCATATGAAGTTAGTTCACGTCTCACTTGATCCTGAACAACATATTTAGCCATAAAAATTATATTTATCAATTTTAATAAAGGCAACTAATACTGACGTATGAAATATCATTGCCCGACTTCAATACTAAAGACCTTTGGTCAACCCCTAAAAGTCCGACGTAGGAATTTGGTTTGGCTATAATTGTGATGTCGACATTGTCACCAGGTCCTACTTCATCATTCGGTACAGTTTTGATATCCACCTGAATTCGTTATAACGTTAAATTTTTTCCGATGAACTAATTGTTAGTGTATTTTGATGCTTTATTGGTTCTCACGAAATTTTGTAATGTTCCTTCCAGTTCTATATCCAGTGTATCAGCGACGAGTTCGCCGTCATCTCGAACATAGTACACGAGAACATGAGCAATAGGGGCCATTGGATAGGTAGCCAAAAATCTGAGCAAAATTGTTTAAAAAATTATTAAATCAATATTCAAATTTTAATTGAATCGCTGTAATTATCAGAGTATGCATTTACCGGAAATTTGCTGAATTCCGATTTGAAACTTGTATTGACGCAGCATTTAAAACATCGCCACGACCGAGTATTTGGTAGCTCAAATATTTCAAAGGAGTGGTCGAATTGACTTCTATTTCTACGTATTCACCGACCTTTTGAAAAAATTATCGATAATGGGTAAAGGACGTAAATAAATCCAAAAAATTGGCTAAAGTAAATATATACCGTTGGCTTATCTGTACGTATCATCGCTTGAATATAGCTTTCACTGCGCGAAGTAGCTGGATTGGTCGATGGGAACCATTCATGAAGATTCAAGTATTGAGCTTCGATCCTTAATGCACGATAAATATTGTCCGGCACAGATAGCGGTGGATAAAAGTCCAATTGGATCATTCCATTTTTGTCCAACAACCTTGACATGTTGTAAAGATCTTCTTGATTGTAACTAAAGCCGTAAGATATATGCACCGGATTGACATTGTCAACGACGGGCGAGCCATCATGATGAGCGACTTTTAACTGCGGTACAAGAAAGAAATCATACGTAAATTAATAATAGCCAAATCTTAGATTCCACTCGAGTGTTTGGGAACTTTGAGAACGAATCGACAAATTCAACATGCAATATATTGTACATACACGTGCAGGTAAAATAGAAAGTTCTTAAATAAATAGTACGTGCATTATATGGGCACAAGATATAAGGGAATCAAGCGAATTTAGTATTTAAACACCAGAAAAGAAAGCAAAAAGAGTGATCCAAGTTAGAGTGCATATTATTGTTCTTTTCACATATTTTTAGAGCTAGATTAATTTGTAAGGGTTATCCTATGCACAGGCATGTAGACCTTTGTACTCGTTCAAACAATGGATGGTTAATAAATTAATAAATAATAGTTATTTATGCAATAGTACTCTTTGTGCATAAAAAATTGACCGAAAAAAGACTTGGCTATTTATTGGATAAATAAATATAAAGTCTACGTGTACCTGCTTCATTGTACAATACTCGTCCGCAAGTTCGAGTACTAATTACACATATACTAGATTGTTCACCTAAAAAGCGAATAAAGAGAAAATGATACTTACAAAGGCTGTGTACTTGAGGCCTGGCTTGTAGTACTCAGCTGTTCTCAGTAGCTCCATCGTATATTTGTGTTTATGAAGGGTTATTTGCATGGAGTTATTCTGTCTTCTTCCTGTGACAGCTTCCTCGACCGCCACCTCGATCACAACCGGTCGGCGGTAGTCATCATCAGTTACCCTGCATCGTAATTTACAATGCTTTACATTAAATTTCACTTTACAGTAGTAATAATAATTATAGCTAACTTCTTTGATTAAAAATGAAGCTAATTTTGTTACATTCGTGCTCATTCGTGGCTTACCTAAGATCTTCTACTATGTCAAAGTCGACGGTGGTTTTGCCCTCGATCTTGACAATTTTTCTGATGGGTGATTGATAAACTGGCTGCAGTACTGGAGAATAAATATCAGGGAATGCTGTGATCGTTGCCTCACCCTTAACCGGCTTTCCATAAGTGTACCTTTTATTTAAATGCATACATAGTTAATGAAAAAAACTAATTTTCATATGTCGGTTGTAGGTGCGCATAATGTACAAATTATTCGCGCGTATTCGAAGGTGCTTTCACTTTTCACATGAAAAGATAATAATGATAACTACGCATTGATGCCGTACGTATAATGATGATGCTGTATGTGTGTATACTGTATATATATACACGTATATTGTATTACGCAGACCATGACTTTCTCATTATATTACATAGCTAATAAGCGTACAGATATGCCAGCTGTGCTGCTGGTGAAAATTCACTTGTCTGTAAGCTGGTAGTTTAACTATAGCTCGTTTTTTTTTTCTATTAAAAATGTTTGTACTCAAACTAGTATTAACAAAACAAAATATAACCGATCAAAATTCTGTGACCTCTGAATATTTATAATTATCAATTTGACCATAATTCATAGAAGTCTGAACAAATATAGAAGCCGACTACTATTAGTGATGATAGAAGCGTGCGATTCGTACTCTATTTTTCGGAAAAAAAAGAAATGTCTTAGGGCACGTGTAATTAACGGCTGAGGTAAAGCCGGGTATTTATTGTATTTATGATCGAAAAATAAAAACTGTATATTGATTTTAAACGTTGGTCATATAAAATAAATACTTTGAGATTACGTAAAATTATTTTATATAACCCACTGGTACGATTGTACGGACCTAACCCAATAAAGTCACACCTCGTTGAACATAAAAAAGCTAAAAACCATTTTTTGTCCCAGTACGCTGCGCTTCTGCTTACGAGTACTATCGATACAAGCTCATGCAGTTGATTCAATTTATAGGCTCAATAATGAACACTACTGTATTCATCGTGTTCTAAACAAGCAATTAATCGCGCCAAAGAAATACTCACTTTGCGTGAACAACGACGGAAATTTTGCCTTGTTTGAAAGTCGCATGAGGAGCCGAGTCTATTGTGACTTCGAATTTTGGCAATACATATTCGGCGACCTGTATGCCCTTCTTAAACGTTTGGTTTCCGACGTTTGCGACGATTTCCCAGTCTCCAAGGACGGGCGATTGCGACAGCTCGAGCTCGCCATTGAATATGCCTTGATGCAAACGAGGCCTGTCCCATTGTTTTATTCTGTTACCTTGGCCGTCCTACGTATAAAATGCATGTTCATAATATTGGTGAATTCTAAAAATTGTAAGTACTTTTAAATAAATTACTGTCCGACGAAGGCGTACGTACTATAGTCCGACTTTTTTAGTATTAGTTTTCGATTATCATTAATATTACGTTTAAACTCGACTTATCTCGAATTCAATCGAGTCATTATTGCAGCATTGCTTTTTTAATAATTATATGTGAAAATGCTTGCGATAATGTGATGGCAGGTTTTTGACAATTTTACAGAAAAATTTAAAAATAATCGAAATTAAAATGATATAATAACGACTCTTACATCGTAACAAGAATGACGTAGCTACATAATTACATGACATGTCCAATGCGCAACAAAGATACATGGAATGATATAATCGTGTTAGAAATTACTCAAGTTTCTGACTTCACATCCTAAATTATAATTACGAATAATTGTTTTTTATTTCAATTTTCCGCAAATTTAAAAAAAAATGTAACAAAATATTATTCAATGAAATGCTCACCTTTATGTAAACTTCAACTTGCCGATTTGCTGTTGGCCGTAGGCGCGAATCAAGTACGATGCATCTGAATTGAATCTTGCTGCTGGGCTTGTAAACCGATCTGTCGGTTTGAATGAAGACCGAATAACTCTTATGTACATACTCAAGTTTAGTGGAGTTGACAAATAGGTATCCTGAGACACCCCTAGCCAATAGTCTGTATTGACCTGGTCCCGTATCACCGATCTGCAAAATATTACAAAATGTTGCAGTAAAGTAAACATCTTAATCAAAAAATATACTGTAGCTGTTGCAGCAAAATTATTGAGATATATTTTGCTGCTAATATTACAAAATATCTTTCTCTGATCCGGCTGACAACTTTTGCTGGGTCTACCAATAAGATTTTTTGTTTCAGGGTGTATTAATAAACCGATATAAAAAAACTATTGTTTTTATAAATAAGATTCATCGATGTGAACCCTTGAAATAATTTCGCCACATCCTACAGAAAATTTTTTCAAGGGAATAATACAGATTGTTTATCGGAATTTCACAATTCTTACTAGTGCCTCAATGATCAATAACTTTTTGCGAGAATGTACAATTCTAATTTAAATTTTGATAAACTTTTAGGAATGCCTACTTCAATTAATATACTATACCAGTTTTGGCGCCTACAAAAATTGTTTTTAAAGTCAACCAAGGAATATGGTAATTTTACTTCAAGAAATAGAAAAATAACGGTAAAAAATATTATATGCTTTTATGTTGATAACGAATAACATGATTATTTTCTAATTTGTACTGACGTTATATTTTTTTAGTTTGTCTGGCTTCAACATTCAGCTGCTGTTTTCGATGCAGCTGCAACATTCTCTAAAAAAGATTACTACAACTCTTATGGTTAAAGACATTTCATCTTTTTTTGCGAAATCGATAATTATACTCAAGACGTAACTTTACTATCTCGTGGATTGCCACATAAGAAAACTATTCTTTAAACTTCCAGGGCAATCATTATTTTATATAAATAAACAATTAATCAATTCTAATTTGATATATAAGTATTTAATTTATTTCAAAATCTCAATCTACTTCCGAAAAAATCTCGTCATTGGTTCAAAATCGAAAATTGCCAAAAACTTTCTCAAGGAAATGAAATAGTAGTGAAGTATTATAATTTATACTTTTGCTCATAAAGACTTGGTAACAATTTTATGTAATTGGCTCAGTAAAGCTTTATTACGTTATAATGCGTATGACATGAATACAAATTAAGTAGCTATATCCAAGCAGGATTGTATTAATTTTTGCAACTTCCTGAATGCCAAAAAAAATCTTACAAACCAAAACATATATTGTAATATAATTATCAAAATTTACAGAACCTGCAAAAAGTGCTAATCTACAATAAAGTGCTTGATTTGAGTAATCTACATCTTGTGTACACATGCGATCGTGTATTATAATTTCTCGCACATTAAAATAACACAATATTTGACCTATCCAGATTTTATTTGAAGTAAATTATCATTAATTGTTTTTTTTTACGGAAAATTGAACGATGCTATTTGCAAATTCAGTTTGTCGTGGGAAATGAAGGAAATTTCTAATTTTTTCTAATTTTTCACGTTGGCGATTTTTCAGATTATTTATAACGAAATGTACATTACTAGTGTTATAGGATATAGGATGTGTACGCTAATGATATTGTTATATTCAGATTTCCCAAAGGAACTTCAAACTTTCCTTGCTGCATTTGTATAAGTCGTACATAACGCGTGTGAATTCGTCTTGTTTCTCAATTGTCATTGCAATTCGCATTTCTTATGAAAAAATCTATTAGGTCCGCAATGTAGATTTTTGAAAATCATTAGACAAGTATTTTTTTGTTTTTCAATTAATCAATAATTAACAGAGTTATAATCAGTTAAAAATGAGCGTGACGTCACAATCATAGTAAATATACGTGTCTATTGATTTTCAGAAATCTACATTGCGGACCTAATAGATTTTTTCATAAGAAATGCGAATTAACGTTACGGAAAATTTGTTTGCACCCAAGTTCTTTGTCTCTCAAACAAGGTATTAGTTTACTTTTTTGAATTTCAATTCGCACAAAAGTGCAACTAGCAACAAACACTAACAATTTACCTAAATCAGCATCTTCGAGAAAAAAATTATTTTATGCTATAGTATGACGAAAAATGTATTTTTTCGCACATTTTTTAGTGCGCAAAAAGCGTTTTTGGACACTTGTGTGCGGTAAAATGCCTCATTTTGGACACGGGTGTGCGGTAAAACGTCTCATTTAAATGAAAGTATTTTTCGTCTCCTATTGCATAAAATTTTGTATGCAACACGTGCCCAGCTTTTTGCGCACAGTGTGCGCAAAAAACACCCACTCGTGCCGGCATAGCTGGCACTCGTGTCTTTTTCCGCACACTCGTGCCCAAAAAGGCCTTTTGGGCACTTGTTACATAAATAACTATTTTGTTATACTGTATTTTATTTCCAAATAAATTATTTTTGAGCTTACCTCTAAATTTAAAATTCGAGTTGCAAAGGGTTCAACAACAATAGTGTCCGATACAGCAAACGATTCTCCTCCGTCAAGTTGGGCTGATAACTCAACAAATGTCGTAGTTGGCTCAGATACGCCAACAATACTTACTGCAACATGATACTCTGAATTTGGTCTAATTACCTTAGGTGCAACGATAGAGTAGTATCTACACAATAATGATTATTCGTGTGGTAAGAAAACAAAATTATAGCTCAATTGGGAATTGATGAACTTACGATTGTGCCGTTGCTTGTTTAGCAGCAGAAGTGCACAACAGCAAAAAGAAGGCCCAAAATGACCAACCCATGTTTTTTTTGCAAAATTGTGGATTTGAATTGGCACTGTAATGAAAAATACTAATTCAAACTCAAATTTTAATAACATTGATCAACAAAAATGCATAACTAATACAAATACGATCATTTTTATCATTTAATTTAAAATTAAATAATAAATAATAATTTAAAATTAAATAATAAATAATAATATTCTATGCTTTTTGCTTTACACAATTCTCACTTATAACTAGATTGAAAACGATATTATAATATGGGGAATATTTGGATGTCATAACTAAAAACTGAATTATTTAAAAAATTCTTTTCTACATATTAGTAATTCAAAAGTAATATTTTTATTTTTGTAAATAGTATTTAGATTTTTATTAAAAATATTTGATAGTTAATTTTTCATGCGGCAAAAAATATTTAACTCTTATGATCAATGGAGACTCATGAAATAAGTTAGGTGCAGTACGATAACTGTATTTTTGATACAGGAACTCTACATTGCAAACATGGATATTTGAATCATAGCTTTTTTTACATTATTCGTACAAGCTATAAGCTCATTTATTAAATTGATAACTTTGAGGTTTGATGAAACAAAAATGAATACCGATATGGTCATAATTTAATACTTACAAATCTCCAGCAATACTCAAAATTCATGTACTCGAACTTCCTAACAAGCAAAATATTTATTTTCAACGTGTATGCTCTTCTCAATCAGGATGACTATTTAAGATTGCGCCAGAATTGGCTTTGGCGTCAGTATAAATACACAATGAATGATGTGTACAAAAAAATACATAGTGCATCTTCTATTTGAGAGAACTTGGGAATTCCGCAAAATTAAATATTTCTTCGCATTGACGCATTTAGCAGGAAAAATCATTTCCGCGATTACTCTCGCAAAAAATGTAAATAAAATGTTGATTGCATACAATTTTCTATCGCTAACGAAAGTGAAAAAACTGAATTAGATAAAATTTCGTATAGATTTTAAGCAATCAGTAATGACAGCGGGCGTAAAAGGTTGATAATAAGTGTTTCTATAAAAATAAATGAGATACAGTATAAGAATAAATCTTGATACTCGAAACGATTATTTCCGTTTCATAATTCATACAGCGTACAATGCGATCAAGGTTAAGAGGCGAGCTCGGCGTCTTATTTCAATATTCATAAATGAATCAGAGGCTGGCGCTCGAAAAATGAGCGTACTCACACCCACGCGGCCGCTCAGGCATCCCACCGAATTGATCTTGACTCGGTGCCGTACGCATAGACGTCACCAACATAATCCAGTAATAATATCCACGCAGCGATCATGTTTAAAAGAGCAAAGAATAATATTGCTCCATGATGACATTATGCAAATTAACGTCCGCTCGCTCGCGGCACAGTAAGGAGCGTGTGTTGGCGCATCTAGCGATGCTCAATGGAGAACGAGAACGAAGCTGTCGCGGCTCATACGGAGCCCGATCTCTTTTGCGAAATGCAGTCTTGGACTGCAGTGTGTTGCATCGAGTACATTGCCGCCGAGGAAACTGCGCGTACATGATGCACTCTAGGACTTTTGTCCGCTGCCGAGGAGCATCTCAGTCGCGCGCGCCTCTGCTCCTCTCACCTATATATTGTGAACGATGACACGGCTCAGTGCACGCGACAAACCGTCTCTTTGGCCAACATCGTGCAGCCAGTAAGGAGAAAGTCAAAGAAGCGCCTAAATCATTGCTCGTAAGAGCTCAGCCACAAGATCGCGATTCCGCGTATCCTTTGTTAATGCGGAGAAATTTCGTTAGCCGCGAGTCAATTGTCTCGCCGAGATCGCTACATTATACAAATGCCTTCCAAACGGAATTATGAATACATAAATAAATAAATAAAATGACAAACTATGCGGGAACTCGGGCACCTATACAGTGACTGCAAAAAGTTTCAGATTAGATGCGAGATCGTTGAAAAATATTTAAACAAGTCACGAAACGAAGCGCAAAGCTAAGCACGCGTTCCATGCTCGTGTCTCGTGCGAGTTAATTAGAGCATAATGATCGAGTGCAATGCCGCTTGTGCCGCCAGCTATTTCAAATCCGTTGAATCCGTTCGAAGAGCCGGAAAAAATTTCGCCAAACCGGCACCCGTTCACGATATGACATCCGTTGAAAGACGCGCTTTCCTATCGCCGCATCGTGTGGCCACGACAACCGTGCGGAATCGTCTCACCGCCCACTATTCTATTTGCACTAACCATTTTTTACGTCACTAAGATTTTGGAATTTGGATTATTTCCAACTGACTTTTCATTCATTTTTCGATCAAAAACTGATTTCCAATCGCACGTCGAGGCACACTTTTCACATTTTAGCAAATAAATCTGATCAGTTATATGATAATATAAATGCAGCGACAGGAAATGACATTAATTCGTTGAAAAATTTTAAAAAACTTGATCGTTTCATCTGTAGACTAATCTGTTGAACGAGCTCATCAATCAAGCTAGCTCAGTTAAGCAGACACATTTTCCGTTCGAATTTTCCCGGTGATGTCATTCAAAGTTTGCTGCACTTGGTCTCGAGATATAATAAGCATAAGGTGTTTGCAAGCAAAAGTAGCAGCGGCGAGAGACAGCCACGGTAGCAACGCGCCTTTTATGGGTACCGTTAAAAAAAGAAGAAACGAAACAAGTCTTATGCGCACACCGGAGAAAAAAAGAGAGAAAACAAGCCGCGGGTGTCGTTGCTTGTATATTCAATGTATGTCTGCACCGAGCTCGCGATGCAACTTTTATTTGCTTTGCTGACCTTATTAATTCTCCTCGATTACGTATGTACTGCATATAGGAATATTTTTAAGTGTATCGTAAATGCTCTTGACATCCAAGCGCGTAGGCGTGCATTCATGATCACACGAGAATTTCATGGTGAATCCTGTTTTCTTATCCTTTTTGAACCGATCAAAATGTTATTATAACTATAGCGAATTACTTCGTTCGCTAACGCTCGCTCGGTTTAGTCAGAGTTTTGTAAGAATTTTTAAGTTATATGAACGAAAAATCGAATTACTTTTTATTTCAACGATCGTTTTAAAATAATTTCAATGCTTTAAGAAATATTTAACTTAAAAAACGTAGTTTCGATGATTTATTTGTTATGAACAACGTGTGTGAGTCACGTGTAATCTCTTCCGAATGACCAAAATTGTCCAAATTTAAAAAGCCTACATAGTGTACACTCGATGATCAAAATGAATCAGACTTTAAAATAGCTGTTACGAATATCAATTGTTTTCTACGCGATTCGAGTTGGTATGTTTTTATTGGCACTATTCCAAAGAAACAGCACGAATTGTGTTAAAAAAAAAAAAAAAAAAAAAGAAATGGATATATTTTTTCGAAGAAAGAACTGAACGACTTTTAAAAATTGAACAGCGTTGCAAACCTGCCACAAAAGTATACTCTAATGTTTATATACATATAAATAAATTGTATCGTAATGTGTGCTTTATATTCATGAAGTCATGTACCGATTCATGAAAAATGTACGAACGATTCTCGAGCGCAAACTAAAGGAATTAGTTGAAAGGAAAAAGGACGACGACGGAGCGCGCAGAATGGTAAAAGGTGCCTGGGCACGGCTTGTCATTCCGCGCGTTCCTCGATGTTCTCCAACATTCTCTGGGCGGCTTATACGGACGAGCAAAAACAAGGCAATCGAGACTGCTGCGCCAGTGCATGAGCGTTGAAATATAGGTTAGCGGTACAATTCGTAGAGATAATTTCTCTCGGCAGCTTGTACATTTTTATTTGGCTCGTCGGCATTCCGTTGGGACGCGTGCATATGATACGCGTGGAGATAAAGTCGCGCGGTACCGACTCGTTAAACTCACCCGTGGCCGTATATATGGATCATGCGTATATATCCGTCGATTGACTGGAAAACGTGCGCTTGTGCGTAGTAGGCGTAAACTCAAACAGCTCGCTGGTGGGCGCTCGAAAAAGAAACACGAGTAGCCGCCGAGTGCACCGCTATAAGCGCGTCGCACTTTCTTCCGCTCGATGGACGAGCAAAACGTTTTTAAACGACTCTTTTCTCTTTAATAGGATATGCCTGTGTACGTACAGGGATTGTTCCGACACTTGCACTCATTGAGGTACGCAAAAATGCGCACGATTCACCGTCAAGTACCAGAGCTAGTTTGGTATGTTATGTATTATGCACTTGGTGGCTGCACTACCGATCGCAGTTGGCGCGCGACTGTCGAGTTTTTGCGCTTACCGGTTCCCACTGTCCATGGAGCAGAGCAAATATAGTTCGCCGAGCGCTGGATAAAAAGGAGAGAGCAAGAGCTCGAATCTGGGGACTATGCTCGCGAGCCGAGAGCCTACCTATAGTTGCAAGGATGTACGCCGAGAGATCGAGCGCCAAAGGGAGGGAGAGAGACAGGTGGAGGAAGACGACGACGACGACCAAAAGGAGGAGGAGAAGAACGAACATCGCCAGGAGTCTGTATTAAAAGTACATGACGTATGCTAGCTCCGCATTCGGCTCTCTTTATTGAATTTGGAAGCAACTAGCACACTTGCCCGACCATCGAATTCCGTCCATACGTTGCAATGAAACCAACAATTTTTATTAATAATACTTTTTGATCGTCAGTCGTCGATGTTTTCATGAAAAAATCGTTTGATGAACCGAAATTTGCATCCCGTCTCTTTCAACGGAGTCGTTTGATTTTCTACCTGCATTTAGTTGTGAAATCGTCAAAGTTTAAGCGAGAAAACAAACGATGTAAAGTCGTTTGAGGAATTGTTCTCGACACCAAAGGGAAAATAAGGCGAGGAAAAAGCCTGAATCCATAGCAAGGGACAATTAGCGGAGAATGCTCTGAATGTTGGAAATAAACAATCTCGTCATCGGAAACGGCAAAAAGCCGATCTCATTTTATTAAAATTCTTGCTAGTTTTATGTACACATACGTGAGTGTATTTATTGCGTTGTGAATATAAACGTTTACGATCGGGAAAGCATGCCGCCGGTAAACAAGTCGCGCCCTGCTTCTCTTTCTAAGTATCTCGAAAAAGCCTAAACGAGATCGTTAGCCGGAAAAAAAGGAAAGAGCGAGCAAAGGCAAAAAGCAGCGTATCTATCCTATTGATATGGCTTATAGAACGCACTTCTCGGGTTGCGTTTATGTGTGTGTGTGTGTGTGTGTGTGCGCGCACAGTTCCTCTTTACTGCTCGACTGCAAAAGACTAACTTGGACTCTTTAAGCTAATATACCGTTACAGCTGCACTGCTGCGCATAGGTACCAGACTATACACATACATAGATCGCGGAACGGAGACGCTCGTGCTGCAGCGAGTATAGGCTCGCGATGCGTTTACTCGGGACGATCTTATCTTTGGACGAACTGCGCGTCGAGCTGTAGTACAACGGCCGCTACCGCGACTATATCCTATGCTTGCAGTACTACATATATATTTGCAGTTTTATGAAGGCGCGCGTGGGACCGAGATTCGCATCGATTCCATGGAACCCCCTGAAAGCCAGCCGCTCAAACTTTCCTGCAGCAGCCTTTGTTGCTGTAGCCAAAGCCAGCGACAAGCTCTTGTGGCTTTTATCCCGTGCCATCCTTTTAGAGCCGAAATATAAGCAAATCTTTTTAATAAATTACCCATGTATGTATCATAATTACTCCTGGATAGTCAAGAATTTCAAATCATCAACTGAAAAATATCAAAAACTTTATATTATACAAACAAGGAATATTCAGTATTGATTGTTAATAATATTATTTGAATTTAATATTGAGCTCACCTTTTAAAATGAAGAATGTCTTTACGATGAAATAAACATTTCAGACAATATTTCAGAAATTACGTGGTAAATAATTACAGTTTAAATTTAAAACTATCTAATCTCTTTTTTCTATGCACAAGCTATAGGCTAAATCTACCAGTACGTGATTCATAAGACAAGTTCTCACTTTGTTTGCTTTAAACTTTAACAATTTTTTCTAAGAGTACCTTCTGATAGCAACTAAGGTAACCTTTTGAATGACTGTAACATACACTTGATAAAAAAGCTGATAATATTTTTAAATAGTGAGTAAAGCTCAAAAATGCGAATCGTCTTGTTTTGGATCGGTCTACTGAACCATCAATGACCTTGAACTTAGAACTCGGTTGTGTCTTTATTCTCCTAGTAAACAGTATTACAAATGAAGATACGAGTCTTAAAATGCATATGGAACTGATTTTCTCTTCAAACATTCACCCGTGGGAACATGGAAACCATTAGTTTATTACGGGTGATCGAATATTAGATAGCCTATTATTTTATTAAACAGCCTCGTATTTGACCAGGGTCGATTTTTAGTCTCATAATGTAAAGAATATTTGATAATTTATAAATTTTCTCTGAAAATATAATACAAGAAAAGATGGAAAATAAATGTATTGCATCAAAATTTTACTAATATTTTTTTAAATAGTAGCTTATGATGACAGGACACTAGTAAGTTAACCCTGTACGATGAAAATTTAGTTGTCAACTCACTGATTATTGAATATTAACATGATTCCTTTATTTTTAAATAAAATTATTTAGCTCACTCGTATATTTAAAAAATAGATGTTTCACATCAAAAATTGATACTTTTCGAATGCCACTTAAAATAAATTGGTACTAATGCTTACTACTTTACCAACTCTCTCAGATTATCTGTGAATAATTATCTAGAATCAAGATGAAAATAACATCTTTTAATCTACAAAGTGACCGGGTATCTTTGGAGTTTCTTTCCCTCCATTGCACATTTCGAAATTTCAAAACGTCAACGGTCAATGGAAACTCATATGCTTGTTTACTTTTAAACAAACAGGTGCGATTGCATACGACTTAAAATAAGACATTCATTCAATTTTGATAAAATGGCAGAGTTCAAGACGCCGACAGCTAAAAAGTTTAAAAGTAGGATCACGGACAATCCTGAATTCCAAACACCCATCAAAATACCGGCATCTCCTTTTTTAAAACAAATAGGTTACGGTTGTGGTAAGTCACTAGTCACTACTTTGACAAGTATTTACTTGCTTTTATCATTTAACAATTAATCATTACTCAAGTCTAACGACATACTAACTAATTAATTTTTAACTATGTTGTAGGGGTGGGCGTGTTTACTTTAGAAAGGTCACCAAAAGTCGGATTTGTGCGTTCTCCATGGGCTATTAAAAAGCGAAACAAAAATGTTACTTCAGATCCTAAATATAATTCTAGAATTCAATTGGAGGCTGAAATACTTAGAAAATTGAAACACCCAAATATTATTGGCTTTCGAGGCCTTGCATATGAATCGCATGGTGAACCATGTCTTGCAATGGAAAAATTGGATATGTCATTAGGTAAATGATTATTTAACTATTTATTTTCAATAATCTTGAAATTCAAAATCATGCTTTAAATTAAATTTTTTTCATATCTATAAATAGGTGACATGATCGAAAATAGAGTAGAAGAAGGAGAACCACAATTTCCCGCTGATGAAATATTGAAAATTGGCTATGAAATTGTCAAAGGTCTTGAATATTTGCATCATACAGCATATATACTTCATGGAGATATTAAAAGTTACAATATTTTAATTTCCAAGGATTATCAAATTGTAAAAATTTGTGATTTTGGAGTTTCTATTCCATTAACTCAAGACCTTATTATAGATACATCTAATGATAAGTTTATGTACATTGGTACACAATGTTGGAGTGCTCCAGAAGTACTAGATGGTAATAATTCTTTAAAACATTGTTTTGAGATATAACACAAAAAATACTCTATATTTTCTACTGTGATTTTTTTATTCCAGGTGATGAGCCCATTACTAATAAGGCTGATATGTGGGCATATGGCCTTGTTCTTTATGAAATGATAGCACTTTCACCACCTCATTTTCAAAATGAAGATTCAATTGATGAATCTACAGATGATGATCATATGTCAACTATAAGTATGGAAAATAATTATCCAAATTCTGATGCTGAAGAAGAAGATAGCTTTATTCAAAGTTTGAAAGATCCAGATGATAGTAAATATGGTAAATATTATTAAATATTACCAATTTATTTTAATAATTAAGTATTCTCAAATTCTTATTAATACTATTTAATAATTAAAATTGTTGTGTAGGAACAAGACCACCACTTCCTGCAATAGAGCTAGGTTCAGAATATGATAAAGTTTTAGAAATATTTTATGCTTGTACAGATGAAGATTACAGAACAAGGCCAAGTGCTAAAGGGGTTGTAATGTTTTTTAAAAATCACGTGAAGAAAGTTACCTCATGAAAATTTTCAATGGAAAATGGTAATTTGAAATGTATATAAATATTATATCATATACATTTACCTCATCTAACATATAAAGTATTTTTAATATCGATCTACTTTTACAAGTAATATATGACAAATCTATTTGATAGGTGTATAACAATATTATTAATCATAAAATGCAATTTTATGAACATAGAATACCTATAAAAATAATTAAAATTATAACAAATACTGCTAGAGCTATTTTTAATTTCCTCTGAAAAAAGAAAAAGGAAAGATTTCGTAATATTTGCAATTTTAACCAAAAATTCAACAATAATTATTCTTACAATTTTTAAGCGTCGTTTTTTTTCATATCCTTTGATGATTCTATCGCGTCCCATATCAATGTCATCAGTAGCTTTACTAGCAAAGTATTCAATGCAATTTAGTTGTTCACCCTGAAGAAAATTAGCAATGACATTTTTTGTTTTGTATTTGTAAGGACGATTAAAATTATTTTCAAAATGAACTCACTTGTCTTTCAACTAGAATGGCCATTTCAAGAAAAATATCTCTAACTTCACTAATAGACTTTTCTAGTTTTTGCAATTCATTATGCCTAGATTCTATATCTGATAGTTGTTGTTGAGCGGCTCTTGTATCTTCTAAAATCTGTACAGTAATATACACAACATTTATAGTAAGAACATGAGTTTTATTATTCATAACTTACATTATCAACAAATAAATTCGTGTCTTCTGTGTCAAGCATACTATCCAGTTCTTCGCTTTTAACATGTTTTCTCACTATAAACGAGGTATTAAACTTTTAGATTGATAAATACAAAAAGTAATGAACACAATTTACCAAGGCGTCGTTGTTTTTTTAATAGGTTTGCGCATCGGTCATGATATTTCAACAAGTTTTCATTGTAATCATGCATTGTCTCCGTGTACGATTTGGACAACGTTACGTATTGTAAAATTCTAATTCTGTTGTAAGCGGATCCATCTCGTGCTGTACTAAATGTTATATCGTCTTCATGAGATATATCTTTACCAATTCCTAAAAGTTAAATATTGTAATTAATCTATGATTGATTTTTAAAATGAGCTACAAAATCCGAAAATATCAAGCTGGATTTAAAATTTGAAAGTTCAGCACAATACCTTTTAATTTTCCGTGTATCCTATGTGCTAACTGACTGATTGTCGAAGTACGAGTATCCAATTCTTTCCGAATTTCTGTTGAAATATTTTTTCATATCAATGGAAAAAGGAAAAAATTTGTTTAAAACGAATTTAATTGAAAACCAACCTTTGTTTCCGTGCTGACCGGCATCTTTGTGTATTTTTTTTACAATTAGTATATTTTCGATCATAACATTAATAAGTTCTCGAATCTCTTGAACCTGAAATTGATTGGATTTCTTTTCATTATTGTATTGATTTAATTGAAAAAATCGCAATCAAATCATTTCGTTTTATAGAACGTATAAATAATTAATAAATACAACAATTAAAGAAGAATAATGACTGCCCTTATAAAATTAAAATATTAAATTTCATACGTTATTCAGAAGATCGTGAAGTTTTTTATTCGGCTTAATCTGTCCGTGAACATTTTTAAGAAAGCCCCCACTTGTCGTCGTTGTAATTCCTTTACGTGCCTTGAATAAATGAAAAATTCGTTAAATCTTGCATTAAATATACTCTTAAAGCGAATCTACTTTTGCAATAAAATAAATAAACTCACAGCGCACAAGTCTGGCATACGATCTCTCGTCATGCTGGCCGACTTACTGAACCAAACCAAGTTTTTTATCGTTTTCTTATCTCACACCTGCACCGCGCACGATCATCATCATTGATAAACACAAATAGGCTTTATTTAAACGCAAACAGTATCTGTGTAGGCACTTTGTGTAGGGCTTTTTTTCAATCACATACTTGTTACTACATCTCAAGCGGACTAGCATATTTCATGAATGGCAAATTCGTAGATTAGAATAGTTCGATTGTTTTTGTAAGAGTATCACGATAAAAGCGCGTATCATATGTTCGACTTATGCTAGAATGGCACGATTTAGCGCTTCTAGTAACAAGTACTGCCGAGACACGGAAAGTGGCCCCAATAGGAAATGAACACTTATTTTAGGACTTCAGTCTTTTGATTGAATTGCCCGAATGTGAAATCATTATGTTGTTAAAGCGTGTTTAATTTTTAGAAAAATCTAGATATCATTAAAAGACATTTTAAATATATCAGTCATTGCTTCAATATGAAGTTCTAGCCGTAATGAAATAAAATTATAAATAACGAAACATTTTTAAAATTCACCTCTCTTCATAATAAGTACTTTTAAACGTTGGTTGCAACTTCACTGCATAGGGTTTGTAAAGAATTTGAAAAATGATGCACTTTTTAACCAATCAAATTTTGTATTTATAACCACTGTCATGAATACTTCTATCTATTTTAATTATAAATTACAAATGAGCCTTGGTTATACAAAAAAACCTATAATTGTTTCGCTCGGAGATTCGATGAAATTTTGGGATTAAAATTTTCATTTAATATTAAGCGTTGGAGTATCATATGATTTACAGCTTGATCAAATTTTAAAATTTAGACATGAATAGACTTTTTAAACAGAACAATCTCGCAAGAAAAAAATATGAAACATTGTGATTACTTTGATAATAACACACTACAATTTTTAATATTTTTATTTCCTTTTACAAAAATATTTTAAAATGGGAAACTACGTAGTATTCTTTAAGATATGAATAACACATTCCCCTTTCATAATGTTCAATCAAAACGAGCTCAATTATCAGTTTAAAGATATGATTAACCAGTTTATAACTCCTCGATTCTCAGTCAGTATAAAATTGAATATTTATTCAACATTTCCTTGAAAAAACATATTTATTTCTATAAAATTTACACAATTTTTAACGAAAACTTATGAATATCCTTTATTATCCGATAACTAACAAGTAATCAACATTTTGATTTTTTTCCACCTTTGGTGAATAGAATCCACGCTATGTTTATTTCTTTGACCTAAAAATTCTAAAATTAAGAAAAACTACCTAATTTTTGGATTGCTGATATTCTTTTGTACGTTAAGGCATTATAATGATCAAGTTTGCTCGTCTATACCTTAAAGTTTTAAATTTCATAAAAGTTTATTCATAGAAAAATAACATCTTAAGAATATCGTTCAACTTCTAGTACACTTTTTGCAATTCATTATGTAACCAAAAGTGTAACATCATTCGTCGTTTCATAAGTAATTTATCACATTCGACGTTGACAATAAACACTGGTAACAAGAATTAAATAACATTTCTAAAAAATTCAAATCGAAAAACTAGCAAATTTCTGTCATTGTTATCGTTTGCCTTGACCGTAATTTTCCTTTAGGTACGAGGCGACTTGATGTTGGCCATGTCGTATGGCTGATTGAAGCGGTGTCAAACCTTCTTGATTGGTTAGCAGGGGATCAGCTCCAGCTCCTACTAGTTGTCTTGTGACGCTCATGTGTCCCATTAACGCTGTTGCATGTAATGCACTTTCACCATTCTGCAATTAAACATTTATAGTATACTTTCAATTTGAAGTTTATAAATAGAGTCAATGAAAACTGTTATTAATTTACTGGAAGAATTCCTAGATTTGGTCGATATTTCAGCAATTCTCCTACAACTGCTGTGTGGCCTTTATGGGCTGCTTTGAATAGCGGTGTTGCACCATCCTGAACATAATATGAACATTTTCAAAGTAATTTTTATTTATTCATCAAGATGCAGTAAAGTTTTAATTTACAAATTACGTAATAATAAACTTACGTGTCGTTTTGAATCCACGTAAGCACCAGCTTTTAATAATCTTCTGACCACGTGATCGTGACCCATTTGTGCGGCTATCCAAAGTGGTGTAGCACCATCAGTTCTCGCTGCTTCGATTTTGGCACCGTATGCTATCAATAGTTCCATTATTTTTGCATGTCCGTTTTGAGCTGCAATAAACAGGGCTGTTGCACCATCCTATTTTTGAGAAACAATCGTTGTAGATCAAAAAATATTTATTTCTTGACGTTTCTTTGAGGTATAAATAATTGCTAAGACGAAATAAAATTTAAAAACAATATTCCATCAAATTTTGGGTGCTAGCATCAACGGCAAGTTCAAATTCATGAAAGGATAGTGTAAATGTACTTATTTTTATACGGTGAAAATAGGAAAAACAATTAGTAAAACTCCAGTTCTCGAAGCGAATAAGAAAAAAAAACGTAATCCGAAAAATACACTCTAAGATATAAAAAGTTTTTTGCATATAATACAATATCATGCACTATTTATTATTGTTCTTGTTGCTGCTGCTACTATTGTTATTTCAAACTTCCTTATAAATACATCGGATTCTTGTAATCTCAGTAGAAAGCTCGAAGCACTGAATTTAACTTGAATACATTGTGCTTTAATAGCACTCAAGCACGCTACAAACATCGCACAACAAACATCGAATTTAAGCGCCCACCCGCTAATAGTAAATCGACTTATCGTCTATTTTAGTCTGCAAATAAAAGAATTATGACTCCTTTACCTTCATGTGGGCATTGACACATGCTCCGTTGGCTATAAGCTCTTCGACAACGTCGAGGTGGCCGTATTGACAGGAGACAAACAGCGGGGTTCCTCCATCCTGAGTAGAAAGTGAAATATTGTTACATCGACGAGGCGGTAAAAAAATGGATTATTTTATACTTACAATGCTACAAGAATCAACATTTGCTCCATTTTTTAAGAGAATTATTGTAATATCAGCGTATCCTCCTTGAGCTGCGAAAAATAAGGGCGTCGTACCTGTCTGTCGATAAAAAAATTTCATTTCAACTTATTAATCAAGAGATGTGTACTTGAAAAATTCTTTTGAATCTAATTAATTTCATACACATTACTATTTTACTGAATAAATATAGTATATTTTACGGGTAATTTATTGCTATACGTACATTATATAGAAAATTAGATAACAATGCAATAAAATTTGTATTTTCATGTAACATTTTTTTATCACATCCACAATGAAAACTTCTTTCAATTCATTGGCAAAGATCTTTCTTTTAAATACTACTTGCACGTATAAGCGTAATGTAACTAAGTCACTATAATCTTAGCTAAAAAGCCGAGAAGATTACATGCACACACGTACACAAACTTGTTGAAAATTCAACGTAATTTACAAATATGTAATAAATTGAATCGTCCTATTATGTCTGGTTTAAAAATTCATTCTTCAGATGTGGCAGAGCATGGAGGAAGCAAAAAAATAATTTCTGTTAATCGACAGCATAAATAAACTGGACGTAACTTTTTCTGATGAGTTCTTAATTTTTTTAATTTCAAACCTTACGAATGATATTGTAATCGAACGAAAATTTAAGCATCTATTTACATAAGGACCGGAATTTATCAGATCAATACATCGGAAGTTAATTATTTTGCATCAGGACAAATAGGCTCTCTAATCGTTTCGAAACAAAAAAATATCCAACAATAATGTTTTCATTATCGTTTTCCTATATCTTTTGTTTCTGATCCAATGCACACGCAAAATGCTACTAGTAGCAACCCATCACTATCATCATACAAGAGTTGTTATAACTATTTTACATGCACATACCGCGGAAACTCTAGACATTATAAACAACGTCGACGAGAGGACAGTGTCACGCGTCGACGACAGTTTGATAGATAATTCATTTTCTAGGGCTATTTTATCGATCGAAACTGCATAGACAGCATACTCGAGAATGAATGAACTATTTTTACAAATTGCAATTTCTACAATGAGCTGGATGTGGGCATTATTGTAGGCGCAGCACGTGAAATCGAAGATGACTGCCGTTTCCGCTGTGGTTGCGGTTAAATGTTCAAGTCGCATCAAGTTAGCGCAATGCGTGTAACGTAACGCGTCGTCTATTTTAAAATGCTGAAGGTGAACCAATCACTTACTCGGACTGTTGGTGATTCTAACTTGGCTTAATCTGTGCCTAGTCCGGTTAGGTTCTATAGTTGAGTTAGTGCCGTATGTATCAGCAATCAAGATAAGACGTGCTACTTTATTTATGAGAGTCACTTTGCTACTTCACTCGATACGCATGTGAGTTTTACACCTTAAGTTTGACATACGTTAGCACACCTGTTTTTCATCAATTTCCAGAAGGTATTATGCAATGTATACAATGGTAAAAGAACGAAAACACGAGCGCAAGTTTTTACTTCATGATGTTTGTATTCGCATGCTACCCTCACGTCCTTCAAAGAAATTCTCGATCAAGTGCTAATGCACAAGTTTACGCTGCGCTTAACACTTGCGTATGAATGAGCACTGTGTTTATTAATTACTGCAAAAGCATATGTAGCATTGATTTGTTAAAGTTAAATTATTTTATTCATGCCATGAAATTAAGGACAATTTTTTGTGAATTTTTACCTACAAAAGTCTATTGAAAACAGCAATTTAAATAGCACAGTTGCTATTGTTTTACAGACGAAGGTTTGCACGGGTACTTCAAGTAATACATTTTCTGTAAGCTATTTATGAAAAACAGCAGAAACGTTTTTACAATTACGAAGGTTAAAAATAAACCAAAGCGATACATAAATACGAAAGAGAGATTTTCCTACAACAAATTTGTTATTCTGAAGCATTTAAGTATATACAATTTATGCTGTGTCAAACGCGTGGACGAATAATTTTTAGGATTGGTCTTTTGTATTATATTTGTAACACGATCAAAGATTGAAAACAAAATGTCAAAGTTTTTGAGCCTTCGTGAAACACGTCATCCTGATCATTTGTATATCTGCATGAATAATATGCAAAATGGAATCGATAATTTATATTACAAAGAGATACGTAAAGAGCCTGACGAGTAATGTAAATGATTACTTCGTAACACTTCGATACGCCTACATAAATATACAGGAAGGCTTCACGAAAATTGACAAGATTCAACGTCACTCTGAGTGAACGGTACACTGACTCAACTTCCGCAATGGCCAATAAAATTGTCAATACTAGTAATGTATACTTTTACAATGTTGATACATATGTACTTGGAACCTTTAAGCGAGTCGAAGTTGACAAGTTCTTTTAGATTGACTTTTTTAGCAAATATCTCAAGGTCGATGTAAAATCGTTGTAAGAGTGTTATCATTTTTCAAAGAATTTAAAGTTTGTGAAGAATTTAAAGTGCAAAGCCGAAGTAATTAGAAAGAAAAAATATTAAAAAAAAAATCCATTTTTTTATCGTTACGAGCAAAGTTTTGATTTATCATACTACTTTTGAGTGAATCGCAGGATACTTAATATTATTTTGATGATTCGCACATTGAATTTTAATCGATCAGTTCAAATTTAGATATTTCGAATAAATTGCAATTTTTCGAAAGAAGGTGAACTACAATTATATAACTTGCAAATTAAGTTTCTGTACTTAAAATGCATCTACTTGAAGGTAGTTTTTTAAAATAAATAATACAGTCGTCCATCATGAAGGTATTCTTACAAAACGTGAGAACATTTTTTCTTTTATCATCCACAAAAATGTTCACCGATCTATTACCAAGTATGGGGACGAATACTGCTGTGAAACTATAATTTTCGAGTTCACGAAATGAATAAAGTATACTTAAATGAAGGTAACAATATGATAGACGTATGCATTTTCATTTTTTGCGTTATAAACCTTTATCACAGAGTGTTAAGAATTTCGCTGATAGGTAAACTACACATGAAATTTTGAATTTTTTTCCTCTCACTAAAAAATAAACGTAAAGTTTGAAATAAATAACAGGGATGTGAGCACAAAAGACATTGCCTCACTTGCCTTTGTTTTTTTTAATCATTAAAAATTACTCCTTCGTTCTTATTGGGAGACTACTAAAATTTAATAAGTAATCGAATGTCTTAGCCTATTCGAGAGTTGCTGAATACCTTTCATTTCCTACTTGCTAAGGGCATGTTTTGCGCAAAATGATTTTTCATATTTCATACTTGTTTTAATTTTAATTCAACCAGAAAAACTTCTGTATTGAAAAACGAATCGTCAATCGTCATACACGAAATAAAAAAGTATCATTTTTTCTGATACAGTTAATATTTAAAAATATTATTAAGATTTAAGTGAAAACTATAACAAATGTTAAATTAGTTATCTGAAAAATTACGGCTATTGAAGCGTTAAAAAATATTGCAAGGTTGAACTCCATACCGGGTTTCATGTAATGTAAGAATCGTTTCAGGTATCAATACTTCTAACATGAATCTTGAAATATAAAAAAATTTAATAAAAAAAAATTAGCCAAGTATCAACTACTATTAATTTTAAATGAATGCCAAACTCTGAGCCACATACATTTTTGAATATATTCATTCTTAAATGAAAAATCGCATTTTCAAGTCATATTATTACTTAGTACATAATCAGATGCACTTACCAATCTTTTGGAATTGGGATCAGCTCCCTGTTGCAGCAATTCAATAACAGCATCGATGTGGCCGCCCGCTGCAGCCAAAATTAGTGGCGTTGTGCCGTCCTAAAAGCAATTAATTTGAAAATTTAATTTTTAAATTAACAACACAATATTTTTTGATAATATATAGTATTTTTCGTGCAATCGTCTTTGTGTCATGTAGCAGCAGAAAAAGTCTGAAGACTCGCGAATTCTCGTTTATTAATGCCGATTTATATGTAGAAAGTTCAATAACCGTTTTCATTCCGGTGGCCAAAACAAAAAAGTTAATTTCTGCTGGGGGATTCATGAAAAATAGTATACGCACCTATGAAGCGAAAAAGAAAGCCTCAGAGCACGTGTAATTATCGGCCTCTGAGGCTTTCCAGTTTTTTGCTCCCTATGCACGTAATATACTAATAAATCTGAACTAATGGATTTACGATATCCATCAGGATGTAATAGGATATCTAAAATATGAATATAGTATTATGCAGGGTATTACGCAACGATGAATTGCAAGTGACACAACAATTTCATTGAAGAAGCTTTACCCGACATGCATAGGCAATGTCAACCTAATAAAGCATCTGGATGAATATTCTCGAATAAAAGATGCAGAGCCTACATTGCTGACAACGAGTGATTATTAGTCTTTATACATGCGTTAATTTGAGCCGCACTTTCATACAGACAGAAAAGCTTTATACATTATGCATTGTGTGTTTCACGCTTGCCTTGATCATCGTTAACTTGTCATTTAACTTTAGTAATGTAGGTTACTGGATATTGTAGAAACTATAAGGATTTGACTTAACGAGCGAGCAACTGTGTTTATGGACGCTAAATTTATTAATTTTTTAAAATCACAATTGGAAAATGAAAGCATGTTACTAAATCTGCCAGCAGACTTTCTAATAAATAATTGTTTCACTCGAAAAAGTATAGGTAATTAGTTATGGGTAGATATAAACACATAAATGTTTTTGGTCTCAAAAATATAATGAGGTTTTTTATCATACTGACCTTATCTTTACAATCAACGTGAACTCGCCCCGAGTCTAGAAGCATTTGTAATCGTTTTGCATGACCTTTGGCCGCTGCTAAATGCAGTTCGACGTCCCACGGCGATTCTTTCTATAAAAATATCGCAAAATAATATAAAAAATTAAGTAAATATGATTAAATACTTCATACTAATATTATTAAACACTACAAAATGGTTTGTTATTGTTGTGTACGATAAGGTATTATTAGGTTTTCAGTTTGATAAACTCATCTCATTTTTAACGTTTTTGTTAATTCGAACACGCGCTACGCAAGCTCTAGTCTTAGTCTGCTGACCAACGAAAGGTAGTTATAAAATGCCTCACATTTCATTTTCTTCATAAGTAGAGAGAATAGAGAAGTCAGTGTTGGAAAAAACGGACAATCTTTAGATCTCAAACATAATTAACGCAAGTACATTTAAATTACTGTACATAGAACAGCATAATTCAAGCATGTAGAAAATTTATAATAGAAATAATATGAATTTTGTTAGATCTTACGTCTTATCATAAACAAGCAAATACGTATTACGCATATAATTTGAAAATGTACTACGCACGATGTGCAAATGCATATGATGCACATATGCATCAGATATATATACACATATATCGTGGGGTGATGCGCATACAGTAACGGCAGGTCGAGCACGTGGAATTTGACGTGCGATTAATGCTGACTGGGCATGATACACGCGTCACGAGTCCGATGATTGCTACTTTGGTCGCTTCAAAAGAACTGCACTTTTGCCTTATCGATGCTCACATTATAAAGATAAAAATGCTAATAGGCTAATTTATGGTGCTGCTCTAGCACCATCATGATTTTTTAGACTGGCAAAGAGTTAGGCGTTCAATAAATAACCATAACGGAAACTATAGTGCATGTTTTATTCGCGTAATATATTCATAATAAATGCAGATTTTTTACATAAGTTCATTCTAATTTACCAAGGAAATTTATTGTAAAACGAGATCTCGAAAGTCTGAAAGGAAAGTAGATTATTGTAAAACAACTATTCTGAAAACTCTCGAATATACATCGTTTGAAGTTAATGATCTACTTAAAAATGCGCGCGTGGCTCAGCGTGCTTCGGTACACATGAACTTTCAAGCAGCCATGTATATTCTACTTTTTACAGTTCATTAAATGCGATTTTTCGAGCCACTTGGAATTCGATCGCGAGATGAATAAAGTTTACGATCGTACTGTAACTTATCAATTGGTTCGTAAAAATTGGTTGTAAAAAATTCGTGCGAGCCGTTTTATTTAAATGTGTTATTTTGCAGGCGATCACAAAGAAAAATCATTGAAGTCACAAGTGATGTGCAAATACCTGTAGCTGTACACATTACGATAATAGAATGAGAAACGCAAATATCGTGTTGTAAAAACACCTCTCTCACGAATTCAGCGTTTCCAAGACTCGAGCTCAAGATTGTATAATAATTTTTTAAAGAAAAGACATGCTGGTATTTGAATATCCTTGGCGGCGTATTCGCCATGGCCCTTGATAATGGCAAACATGTGCAATAGGCGTGTACATTTATAATAACAATGCTCGCGCATGATCCTTACGTTAAAGTCAGAGAGCTCGTATATATTATAGTACCGCTACTTTTGCGCCTGCTTTCATCGAGCCAAATATGCTTTACACACTAGTACCTATTTGTATCGGCTTTGCAAACAACATACAATGCACACCGGTGAGTATATATATTTTCAACGCGGTCGACGTCGTACATACACGAGACGCATGGACGTGTAACAAGAAAACGGCAAAGTTTTTAGCATCCCTTGCCGCAGCCGGTTCTTACGCGGGCATCGGTGCATGCAGTACACATTAGTGTGCGCGAGTGTGTTTACAATACATATTTTATTGTAGGCAAAACAGAAGAGCATCAGCTGTCGTCGGTCTGCATTGTGCGAAGCAAAGTGCAGATTATATCGAATTCGCGACGTCTACATTTAGGCAGCAAAGCACTGAGCAAATAAAACGCGCTATGAAAATAAAAAATTGCTCACCTTCATTGACATGGCTGAGACGACGAGCTGCTCGCTGCTGCTGTTTCCGCGTGAGCTGCTGCTTCTGAAGTCTGTGCAACAACGACACCCCTATCGACGACGACACGTGTGGTGTAGAGCCTGCTGCTTCCAACATCTGGAGGAAAATCTCAACGAGTTTCAAGATGCATGTTTCCGCGCCGCACTCGCCTATACTTCCATCTTTGACAATTTTCGAGTAGCATCCCTCACTGACACTTCACTGCACTCAATCTCGTAATTTCATCTCATCCGTCAGTTTTCGACACACGCATAAACGCACACGTAAATAATCGTGTGCAGTGCAGCTGCCTTTCGCAGAATCTCTTATTCCTTCGCGGAGAAAATACACACACTGCGATCGTTCAATCGCTCTTTCAACAATATACGCGTCCTTATCTCGTGTTCCTATAACTTGCACAGATGTACACGCGAGATCGTGTATATTCTATGTGTATTTTATAATATAAATACATATATACACACACGTGCAGAACCGAGCGTATAGCGCAGAGGCCTGCATTCGAACGGCGCTTTTGATATACACCTGTTTCCCCCGAGCGTGCGCGCGATGCTCGTGCCACTGCACTTGTTTCGAACTTTACACGGGAGGTTGCAGTCGTTTAGCGACTGCGTCACGACTCGTGCGTGTGTACCGCTACTACGATCCGCGAGATGGTTACTCCGCGATCCGCGCACGGCAACTGCGAGGGCTGTACTGTCTGACAGGCAGCTTTGATAGCATGCGATTCGCTGCGAGCTGAGCTGATCGCGAGGCCGCAGAGGTGACTCGTGAGCGACCGCCGATATCATTGGCAGCAGCATGAGGCGTAAATCGTAACAACGTACCCTCGGAGAAGTACAAGGCCTGCGTGCGAGGTGGCAGCTCTTTCGCGCTCCTACTTTACGCCGTGTGTTTGCGAAATTTCCACCGTTACCTGCGTGGATTATCGTCCTAGTTCACTTGAGCCAATCTTTTATAACATAGTTGGTTATACGATCCTTTTTTTATATTTATTATTTAATTAAGAATTTATCGATAAATAAGTAGATAATTTGTCAAAAAAATTACAAAAGTCATGTAGTTACGTTGCCTTCTGACGTTAACACAGATAGTCATTCAGCTCTAAAATAAACGTCAAATACATTTTGGGTTAAGTATAAAAAGAAACCGATGAATTTTCCATTCAATCATCCTAACATTTTATGATTATAAAACTCAATTCATTTTTTCTATAACTTTGAGCGTAATGTTAGAATTTTTAAATTAGATATTATTTGTTCTTTTGTAATGATTTTTAGGAAGCGAATTGTGACATCCATTTGAAAAGTTTAGTTCGACAAATATCCAGCAGCTGTCAGGCATAGGACCTTGAGCGGTAGTTTAAAGTTCCATCGCGAATTTCTATTTGTTTACGTTTCTTCTCAGATGTTAATATTGGAATGCTTATAAGTGTCTATTTTGATATTTCAAACAAGGCAATGTTAAAAGAAAGTTTTCACTATTTCCTATGGTTTCTTGCATCTGAAAGATTTACTAATCTTATGCTCTATTGGAAAAAAGTCAAATGATTGTCAAAGATAGGTTCAATTTCAAGTTGTACTTAGGATTACATATTATTGTAAGTTTCAATCAAAAACAAATTACTTGAATCATGTTTCATAATTGTAATCACATTGTCCTTTTGAAGATGGAATGGGTAATTCAAATACAAAATGCCATCATTCTCAGCGACAATATTCTAGTCAAGTAAGCCTTTAAAGTTATGTTAATTTACACAATAAATATGTTGATACTTCTATTTATTTAGATTTTCTATTCAGCTCAGCCTTAAAAATATCGCCAAAGGTCAATGTTTCTCAGTTCATAGTAAATCTCACGAGGACCTTAAACCCTGCAGTAGATTCTCTCGCAGAAGGTATCTTGTTTTAGCTATAATTATTTTATTATTGAAAAAATTTAATTATAAAATTTACTATCATAGTAGGAATGATGATGCTTATAGTGATCCATTGAAATTATCTAAAACTGCATGGCCTGTACCTACATTTGAAGTTATTTTTTTACCAGAATTTCCAATTAATGAAACACCATTGATGAATAGTTACGCTATAATTAATATCATTTCTAAAGGAGCTTATGGAAAAGTATACAAAGTACAAAAAAAAGAAACAAAAGATATCTTTGCATTAAAAACAATAAGTAAAGCTAAGATAGTGTCAGAGGATGCGATCAAACAGGCAAAACAAGAAGTAAGTTTCGAAAAATTTTGTTGTTATTAAAGTTTCTCTTATTAACGAATTACTTATTTAAACAGTCTTCTATACTCCAAGCTGTTGGTCATCATAATTTTATTGTCAATTCTCCTGACCGTTGGCAAGGACGAAAAGCACTATTTATATGTAAGATTAAAATTGATACAATTCATAAAACAGTTTAATTAATGTTACAACTTATTTACTAAATCTATAGTAACCAAGTTCATTAATGGCGGAGAACTATTCTCTTTAGTTGAAGAATATGGTTCATTATCTGAAGAAATTGTAAGAATATATGTAGCTGAAGTAGCACTAGCTCTAGGTAAATATTTTTTTTTATTATTGAAAGTTTAAAAGATAGCTATAAATGATTAAATGGATTCAAGACTTTCTACATAATGCTGGAATTATTCATCGAGATTTAAAAGCATCCAATGTTTTACTTGATTCTGAAGGACATGTTGTGCTAATTGATTTTGGTTTAGCAAAATGGTTGCGGCCTCTTGAGCGCACTTTAACATTTTGTGGAACTTTTGAATATATGGGTAAGAAAAAGATATTCATCATTTTATACTTTCATATTATTTAACAGAGTTGTCTTTTATAAACTTTAATTTAATATTCAGCACCAGAAATAATAAAAAGACAATATTATGGTCATGAAGTGGACTGGTGGTCGTTAGGTGTTTTGATGTGTTTTTTGCTAACAAAGAAGGTAAATTTATAAAAGTTAATTTTTAAAGTAAATTTTTTCGTATTCAACTAGTAATCCTAAATTAATTATACGTCCTATGCTTCAAATTAAAAGAATCTCATGCCAAGTTATTTAATTTATACACAAAGTTAATCATAATTTAATTTAGTTATGGAATCATTAGAATTATTTCCAGTAAAAATATTTAATATGCACTTCAATGACCTTTCCATCTATTTTCTATTTTTGGTACTTTTATAGCTTAAAATGATAATAATGATTTGATACTTTTAATTATTGACATTGAATTTCTTTTTAATATTTTTAGACCTAGATTTTTATAAAAATATTCAATGGGAAAAACTCGTGTACAGCATTCCATGTGCATTAAAAACACTATTTTACAGCTTACATTATTTTATAGTCATTGACTTTTGAGCTCCGTCATGAGTAACATATTTTGTAAATAATTTTTCTAAACATGTGAGTCTTGAAGAAATCAACAAGAGATAGCGTTAGACTTTTCGACAAAATAAAAATATTCAACTTTCATACACTGAAAATACGGCTCATTATATTGTCTGTAACTTTCTTAATTCGGTACAAGCTCTAAAAAGTAATATACCATTGGATTCTACGACCAAAATCCTATTTCTTCACAAAAAATCATCCCGATTAGTGATAGGGCCTTTCGGCTACAGAATTTTACAGAAAATCTCTAAATTTGTACAACATTCATATCCTTTTAAAAATCATTACACAATCCGCCAATCCTATATACCCAAAAAACCCTTGTTCGCGCTGAATCAAATGTTGAAATTTCACGAGATTTACTCATATCTGCATAAATAAAAATTTGTTTTCGTAAAACATGATATATTTTTTTTTATGGCAAAATTTTGGACAGTGAAGTTGCAGAAGTATCATGCGTCCGCTCGGTTATTAGCTCTCTTTTGTAAATCATGCTTTTCAATGATAATTTTAACAACTAAATGAAATCTTGTTATCTTTGTCATAATCCTAGAACTAACTTATATAAGACGAGACAAATTTTTTTATTCAAGATGGGTACTGCTATTTAATAAATTTAAAACACGTTTTTTGAACGCAATTTTTAGTCGTGCTTGTAAGATATGACTATATTCTATTTCGATTTGAGTCAAAAGTAACTCAATCAATCAGAAGCCATTTAAAGTGACTTGAAGCGATTTTCAACGACAGAAAAAATTGCTTTTTGGCAATTTCCCGCCTCTTTTGGTCCTTATATTGATGTTTTTCACGTGTTTTTTGATATTCTCGAATTTTTTCAGGTCGTTAGACTTAAGAGGACAAATACACCTTAAACTCAAAAATTTTTTTTATTGAATATTTGAATAGGATTTTTCCGTCCCTTTCAATTGCATTTTTCGAAATTCCAAAATCTTGCACTGAGATACAGCTGTTTCCGTGAGCCTTTTTCCTATACTTTACGTATTAAATTTTTTCTTCTTTTGCGTTTTCTGGCGAGTAGTGTTTTTGGTCATCTATCGTAACTTTTAGACGGTACCGATTCAGCTTCAGCACCAGGGTTGTGTACACTTCTTCAGAACATCAATGGTTACGGTCACTGCCTCGGATGAGACGATCGAACAGACAAATTGCACTGCATAAACAGTTAAACACATTTTTTTCCATTTTTCGTTTTTACCGAAATTTTAGTCATAAAAGTACAGTTTGAGAGTGACCTATTGGTTCGATCGTCTCATCCGAGGTAATGACCGTAACCATTGATGTTCTGAAGAAGTGTACGTGGCCCTGGTGCTGTAACTCAATCGGTACGCTTCGAATGTTACGACAACTGAGGTGCACTTTGTAAACATGTAAAACGCAAAAGAAGAAAAAATTTAACACGTAAAGTATAGAAAAAAGGCTCACGGAAACAGCTGTATCTCAGTGCAAAATCAAAATTTTGGAATGTCCAAAAATGTAATGGAAAGGGACGGAAAAATCCTATTCAAAAATTCAATAAAAAATTTTTTGAGTTTCAGGTGTATGTATCCCCTTAAAGACTTATGCAAAAATTTATGAGGTATCTTTCAACATTTTAAGGAATCTCTTTGAATTTTTAAATAATGCAAGTGTGGATCGAACTCGATTAGATGTTGAATTTTACTGAACTAGGAATTCTTAAAATATTTGCGATTAGGATGAATTTCGGAGAAATGCCAACTTTGGGCACCTAAAAATGGGTGATAGATGGTTCAAAAAATTTTAATAAAATTTGGAATCTATTATGGCATCACACATAACAAGTTTTTCATGTTTACAGAAATTTTTTTGTATATATTTGATTTCACTGAGAACAAGCCACACTTAATTTCATAAACTAGAAATAACTTAAAAAATTTAGTTTTTTTCATCGAAAGAATAGCACTAAATTAAAGTGAAATTCTTTTAATTAATAATTTATAATAATAATTGTCGGCAATGAATATTTTTTACTTTTGTTAAAACTTAAGTCACTATAGTTTATTTGCCCTGGATCTTAAACTCAAAGTTTATTTTTTTCTTGTAAGCATCGAAGACTCCGTGGCGCAACGGTAGCGCGTCTGACTCCAGATCAGAAGGTTGCGTGTTCAAATCACGTCGGGGTCAATTATATCTTTTTTTAACTTAAGTACTTTTTTCATCATATTTTTATCAAGTACAATCAAGATTGAGGAATCAATCGCGGAATTTACAAGTAATTCTTATTCCCTAACTTTTGAAAATTGCTATTGTTGCTGTTTTGGGTACTTCTATAATATCTTTGTTATCCAATACGTTATTGAGAAATTTTGCCTTTAAAAAATTTTATTATTACAACATTATATTTATATTTTTTAATGTGGTTTACTACTATCATAAACGTTTATCTCTTGGCAAGCGTTCTAGGAATTTCATTATTTATAATTTTGAAAAAGAAAAACCAAATTTTTGTCGGACTCTATGTAATAATTTTAACCTCTTTAATAAATCTTTTCTTGCAAAATTAAATGTTTAAGATATATTTGAACCGAATAATTGATTTTAAAATACAAAAAAATACCATTTGGATATCCCAAGAGCTGATAATATATTTATATGGTAATATTCTCTAAGGTAAAGCGGGGGAATACGCCATAGCTAAGGAACATATTTGAATAAAAAAGTAATGAATGTATAAAATCAAATCTTAAGCATTGAGGACTGTAAAAAAACACGTTCATGTATTATAAAAAAAAACAAAATTATAACTTTATACTGTTATTTTAATAGTTATAACAAATTTAGCTACTTGGTTCAAGAGTGGCATTTTCCCCAAGCATGCGGGGAAGACCCCACCCTGATTGGAGCAATATGCCCTTAATCTGAATACAATGAAAAAAATGAAATGCTGATTCATTTTCGGGGTCTCCTAGCGTACTACCACGGCCAAGCTTGCATGACGTATTGTCATTATCTAGATGTCGTTAATAATTCCCACTTGAATATTTCATTGAAAACTAAACGAATATTTGCACATTGAACTTTACGAAAAATTTTGACGCTTGAAAATCGACTGATAATAGCAGTGAAAAATCAGCTATTTTGTGTCGATGTAATCGGATTATCATAACGCAAATTCCAATAGGTATCTAAATTTTCTTTCTTACAGCGATAATATAGCAAAGTGGCCTTTTCCCCGAACTGGCGTTTTCCCCCACTTTACCTTATTACTTTTGAAATTAAGATTTTTAAATTTAATGATCTAAAAACGTTCAATGCGTCAAGTAAATTTTTTTAAAATACGGAAAATCTTTGATTATTATTGAAGTTATTATTATTATAGTTGATTATTTAATTTTTTCAACTGATACTAGGTTTATTTATTAGGAGTAATAGTTAATAATTTTAAAAATAAGGTGATAATTATTGCATACGAAAACAAAAATGACGCCCCCGGGTGGGCTCGAACCACCAACCTTTCGGTTAACAGCCGAACGCGCTAGCCAATTGCGCCACGGAGGCCGTTTGGAAGAAATTTCAATATTGCAGTTGAAATAGCTTTTAGTTATTTTAAAATCAATAAATAATATTTTTGTGCCACCCCAACCTAAAGTAACATTTTATTTCCACTGAGCGAAATCAAAATATTACTTTAGGCTGGGGGATTCACAAAAAAATGTATTTGCCCCTATAGAGAGTGAAAAACTGTAAAGTCTCAGAGCACAGGGAATTTATCAACCAAGCGCAGCCGACTATCTAAAATATACTATTTTAGATGTTGTTTAGAATATTGTTACGGGAGAAGGGCTAAATAGTTGCATCCTTAATTTTTATGTGTCTGCTAGATATTCTTATATAGTAGCAATTAGAGCCGAATCATGATAATGTATATTGACGTTTATATTCAAAACACAGCTTAATCCATTGAGTTCCAAGGGGACGTTTTTTCAACACTTTATTCGGCCACTGTATTTATGGTGAAAATGAGGTAAAAAAATATGCGAGTTATCAATTCTAATGTGAAATTTAACGCACTTTCAGAATCTGATCTCAGATTTTCGAAAAATTTCAATTAGGGCAAAAGTTAAACTTAATTTTATAAAAAAAACGTGTTTTTGAAAAAACAAATTTTTTTATTTTTCGATTGTCCAAATAGGAAATATTTGAAATCTCGGGGTTTTTGTGCAAATCTATATCTAAACTAAAAGTAGCGGGGTTCTGATTGGAAAAAACAATGTTTAAACACACAAAATGGCGGTCGAAACACGAAAAAATGAACAAAAACTTATAGAATTTTTACTCAAAAACGAAGGGTTTGAGAAAAAAGTAAATTTTCTAAATTAATTTTCTCCAATCTAATGACTTTTTTAGATCGATTTTCCAAAAATCGCTCTGTAGAGTTGTTGCTGCTGTGAATATCTGTATAAAATTTAAGCAATTCAGCCGGAAATCAGAAACAAATTCTTTCATCCTGAATATGGACATTAAACATTTCGATCCCGTTTTCCGAAAAAACTTCCAAAAAAATAAGATGAAATTTAGTTCAGTTAGTTACAAGAACAGTTCGGAGAGCTCCACCTAGTCGATTTTTGAAAATCAGTCTAGAAAAAAGTTATTCAAGCAATATTCAGGGCTGAGTTGGTAATAGTCGGGGCTGAGGTATTACCTTAAAATATTTTTAAAAAACCACAAACAAATTTTTACTCTCAGAAGATGTATATTTGTTTATTTTTGCATCGTCCAAGATTATTAAAGGACTTGCAAAAATACATTCAATCCTATAATATTTATAAAAAAAATAGAAAATGAGAAAATCAATAATATGCATCGTCATAAATCGTGCAACTACTTTTACTATTGTGCTTGAAAGTCAATATAGCGCTTACATATTGTTTGTTAGTTTATTAGGAAAAAAAAAATAATAAATTTTTGTTTGAATTTTCAGATACAATATACTTGAATTTAAGTCTTTTATTACAGTGAATTCAAAAATGATTTACATTATTAAATTTAATATTAAATACTTCAACAGACCGATATAAACTTCATTACTATTTAAGAAAACCAATTGAAATAAAAAATTATAAATTCTCAAATAATTAACCTTTAGAGAGCCAGGAAGCTAATATATTCGCGCGCTCCCTGATCAACGCTTTTCCTATGATCGATCAATGATTTAAGATATTTTTTATGCCTTATTTTCTATAGATGATATGACCTCTGAAATCCCGGCCCTCTAGAAGTTAAAGTTGAACTCTGTTTTAAATAACTTAGAATATTAACAACTTCATCTTGAATTTACTATCTCATCCTTTATAATAGTTTTTAACTTAATAATTTAAATCTGTAACAACTCTTCAATTTTTTTTACTACTGTGTTGAGTTTTACTTAATTATTTATTAATTGTTTTTGTTTTTTAAATTGACATGTAAATAGTTGTCTACGAATACATATTACATACTTACGAACAATGTATTTTTATTAATCCAATTTATTTTTGTATAATTGATACAAGGAGTTACAGTTGTAAACTCCCTACAATACTTCTTCATTAATTATCACGGTGCTTTTTTAATCACATAATCTAAAAAAGTGAAGTTAATCCTGCACTTCTAGATTTTTTCAAATATTTTATTTATAAATTATCAGACAGAATATATGAGTGCCAAATTTTCATAGATAAAAATTTTTTTCCATGAGTTTGCTGAACTCATTCATCACATTTCCTGTTTTTCATCCAAAATTTTTTGTATAAAGGTACTTCTGAATATTCAAATTAAAAACAATATTTATGATGTTTGTATTAATTATTATTTTAACGATGATGATAATTATACATAATTAATTGTGGAAGAGCGGTATTTAAAATAACGATACGAGATAATAATGCAATAAAATCAGTAATAAATAAAAATGTGTTTCTACTCAGTAAGTGGCAAGATGATTAAACAATGAGCATGAAGGGGAGGAAAGAAAATTACAAGGTGGTGGTTTTACAATTGTTCTTGTCGTTTAATATGAAGTTGTGATGTTGTCATGGTGCTAATAATATATTTCTAAAGTTATTTGTAAAAAAAGTAGGAAAATTCTTAAAATATGAGAAACTACCAAAAATACAAATAGATTAGTTCCTCGATCACCTTACATCGGCGTCCAAAACCACCAAGATATCTTATGGGTCTACCGGCACGCACGAACGCAACATGTGTTTGTTTTTTATTTTAATTACTTTTTCGAGAGAGAGAGAGGTTTAACCATCGACATCACGACCATCAAGAGATTGAGGTAACCGAATTTGACGCTCGAAAATTTTTTCGACTTAGTATCGCTGCAATACTAATATACGAAGTTTCTGATTGAATATTTTCGAGATAAAACTTTCAGTGACCTTGAACCTTGTTAAATCATCGTAAAGCCTCTCATCTCTCAGTAATTCTCACACAAAGCTATAATAGATATACAGCATGACAAGACCTTGCGTACAATTAATGAGTATCTTAATTATTCTTTCTTCTGCTTTATGCCCTTTCTCGCTCTCTGCTCTTTCTTCGTTATAGTCAATGTAATTTGTCGTTATCGTCGTTTTACATATGATTTTTGTTTTCTGCTTAAAATGCAGTTGCGCCTACAAAATCGCGTCATTTACATTTTCATTCGCACTCTTGTTCGACTTAATATCATTCACACTTACAATATTACGACAACACACATTTTCTTTCAGTCACATATACTCAAAGCGCATTTATATCGGATTTATGTAAAGAATACGTTGCATTCGTTAATTGTTGCTGCTACTGCTGCTGGAGGTCCTTTTCTCACTCGAACTTTTTGAGGGTGCTGACCAATTTAAGATGAGGTAGCTGGTGCCAGCGTTGCCATGTCGGCTGCGGGCTTGCTGATCTCTTGAATTTTTTTTTCTTCTAGTTTGATTTCTTCACTACTATCTTTTTCTTCGGAGCTTTCTTTCTTTTCATCTTTCTTCTCTTGCACTTTCTTCTCCAGTTTTTCCTCCTTCATTTCAGCAGTCTTTTCCTCACTGCTGCTGTCTTCTTCTGAACTATCTTTCTTTTCCTCCTTTTTTTCTAGTTGTTTTTCTTTTATAATTTCTTCAGTCTTTTCTTCTTTTTTCAACATATCAGCTAATGGTTTTTCCTCAACCTTCATTTTTTCTTCCTTTATAAGCATCGTTTCTGGTTCAGCCACTTTAGGCAATTCAATCTTGGATTCCTTAACTTCTTGAGGTTTTGGAAGCTCTTCAGCTTTAATTTCATCTGCGGATTTCGCTGACTTTTCAATTGACACTGGAGTTAGTTCAGCCTCAGCAACAACAGGAGCCACTTCTTTCACAGCTACTACTGGTACAACAGATTGAACCTCTTGAATAGGACTGACTGTATCCTCCGAACGTTGCTCTTTAGCGGCTTCTTGAGCTTCCTTTGCTGGATGAAGTTGTTCTGGTTTGGTAGTTTCTTTGATATGTGGTGCTACGGCTTCTTCGATAGGTTTAACTGATTCAACTACAGCTGCAGCAATTGAAAGTTCTGTTGGTTTTTGTTCTGTAATTGGTTCTTCAAGTTTCTTTGGTTCTTCGGTTATTTCAGCCTTAGCTGCCTCTACAGCAGGTGCTACTTGCTCATGATTTTCTTTATGGGCAATAACTGGGGCAGGGGTTTCGACGGCGTGCTTTTCTTCAGCTACGACAGGTTCAATTTTTTCAGGCTTCAGCTCGGTAACAAGTTTTTCCTCAACTTTTTTTTCTTCGACTTTCTTTTCTTGGGGAACAGCATCTTCAGTACCACGAGTTACTCGTTGTTCAGGCTTTTCTTCGATTTTTGCGACTTCTTTTACGTGTTCTTCAGATTTTTTTTCTAATACAATTGGAACGTCGGCTGCTTTAGTTTGAGATACTTCCACTGCAGCCTCTGAAGCAGCTACAGCTGGAATGGGTTGAACTTCAGCTACAGGAACAACAGGCTCTTTTACAACAGCGACTGGAGTTTCAGACCTCTCTTGAATTTCTTCTTTTTTCTCAGTAGCTACTTCTTCAATGGCTGTAACGGCCTGAAAAAAATAGTAATATAATATTTTGAATTGCTTATATGAATACTAATAATTAAAATATTTTTTACTTTTTTCTCCGATGGTGTAACTTTAAGAAGTTCTTCGGGTTTTTTCTCTTCGAGGTTGATTTTTTCTACTTTTTTTTCTTCAACTTGCGTTTCCATTTCAACCTTCTTTTCTTCCTTCAGAGTCTGTTCAATTTTTTTTTCCTCTTCAACTTTTTTAAGTAAAGGGGTCTCGTCTATTTTCTTTTCTTCTTCTGCTGTTGCCTCCACTACTGCTTCGCGTAACTGTTGATTTGGTAAAATTGTTTCAGTTTTTGACTCTTCAGATGGTTTGTCCAAAGGTTTTTCAATCATTTTTTCCAAAGGTACAACTGCAGATGGTTCCTTCTTTTCATCATCGCCAAGAGGCATTGCGTTAATGGTTGATATAGCCAGAAGGCAAACCATTGAAATAGCTAATTTGGCCATCTGTAAAAAGTAACGCAGTAATTAGTAGCTGATAATCTAAACGATGTCCAATAATGAAATGAAAAATTTTAACAAATAATTATTAAAGACTGTGTGCAACTTCTAAGCAATTTTCTAGTTGTACAGCTTGTAATTCATTGATGCATAAAGCATATATGATGTTGTATGTATCTGCGCGATTAGGTTGAATGAGTTGTGACGTACGATTGTTCGGATGAATAGCATTTACGACTTACTCAATGAATCTTTGCCAAAGCACGAACCGGACGTATAGAAATTTTAAAAAATTAAGCTTTGCTCTTTCATACACATTTTATTATGTGTTGGTCCAATGCATAATAACTTTGTACGAATTGTTGAGAATGATTGCAATTTATAAAAAAGAATGTATTTAAAAGTAATGTGTTGTAATTCAATCACTTAATTGCAACTGTTGTAACATTTGAAACTAATCATTAAAAAAAATTCATATAAATGAGAAAGCGAAATTGAACTGTACAATGTATAAAAATCTGGCTTTTTTACGGGAATTAATTTTGTACACTTGTGTTAGTATAATTTAAAATTGAAATATTAATCATACCGGATGTAGGTAGTGACGCGCATCTCTTAAACAACGCGGTGTGCTTGTGCATTTGCCTGCATGTGTATGCATGTGTATGCATGTTAGCATCACCAAATCACAAGTTTCGTAAAAATTCATAAATACCATCCGAAAGAAAAAATAAATTTTAATAATGTAGTTTTTCTCCACATCAATGTATACCAATCTCATGAATGCATCACAATCGTATTATTAATTACTATTCATGCATGACTTCCATTCATTGATTTAAAAATTTTCAATGCAATCTAACATTGATACATATATAATTTTAAATGTTTTATTTAAGTACATTTTTTATATAATACTTGAATGCATTTTCGAAGATCCTTACTTTTAATATTAAGATGATCGAGTTTTTACTAACAATTATTTACTAATTCAATTTATTTAAAAAAAAAAAAAAAAATAGATCATATCAAAATACAAAATTTGTTTTTACTAACGCAAGATCTACTAACTGACCTTGCACTAAAACTTCCTTGTGGAAAAAAATTATTCATCATATAATTATACTCCTGATATTGATGCTTTTTTTGCAAATTTTTCACGTTCAATTCGTGCTGGAGATATGTCTCTCGAAAGCCGCAAAAAAGATGCAAAAGTACGATATAGCACGTTTCTCGTTACTTCATGTATGAACGTAAAATCAATTAAGAGCGAGCCTTTGAAAATCTGAGACTCAGCATTATGTGTTCGATAACTTGTCATTTTTATTTTGTATTTGCCAATGTAAGCAATGCTTGAGAAAATGTGCTGCGTAGTTTTTAAAAAATTGTCGTTTTCGATTATGAAATATTTTAAAGTACAAAAAAGTCGAAAATAGTCATTTGTCAGAAGCATTCTAACTGCATTAATAAAACCAAACGAAATTATAATGTTATTCAAGTTTATAACCGTATTTTTTCAAGTTTTCGGCAAGCATGAACCAAAATCATAAGTATTTTTTAATTTTACGCAAAAATAATTAGAATTATACGATTTTTCATACTAAAAACCTGCATGGGTTGCTTATAATAGGCTTGCATATAATATAATCAAGGATAAAAAAGATCCATTGACCTACTTTCAACTCTACCTTTTCAAATTGTAAAATATCTTGAGTAAAAAAAGTATTAAAAAATCAACGAATCCCAATTTTCGAACTATAATATTTTTCGATGAAATTTGAGAATTTTTTGACTGTTCCAATTCGCATTTTAAGTAGTGTAGCGGTTAATTCATAACATCAAAATAAGTGTATTAAAATTTTACGGAGATCAGTGAACGTCGTCACTATGAGCAAAGTGATTTGAAGTTTTCCAAACAAGTAAAATTACCGTTTCGATAATCTAATGGCCTATATAAGGAAGACAGGGTGCTTGCCTATTCTAATGCTCTAGGGTTTGCAGACGTTGCGTATTATTTAATTATTTCCTTTGAAATGTTATTAATCTTATCTGTTACATCTAAATTTATTATCTTTAAAAATGTATAATATGTCAAAGTTAAAAATTTTAAATCATAAGGGCTAAGAAGAGTGCGAAGTTTAAAAAACCTCAGTATGTACAAGCAACTGTTAATTTATCGGACAAAATAGACGAGGTTGTGCATCGATGATGCTAATTGCTGATTCAGCCGCATTACCCTGGGTCTAATTAGAGGCTCTGATACAACGCGTACATACGATGGGTACACTAACATCAACAACTCGCATGAAATTGCGAAATAAACTTACTGTGTATAATATAATTATGAGATGAATGTATATTTATATATACATTTATTATATTATCTCTTGTACTCAAAAGATTTCGAATGCGAATGTTTCTCTGTAAATTGGCAAAAGAAGAGATATTCGAGTTTCTGAGTTCTTGCAGTCGATATCGTCTTGTTAGCAAAAATGTGAAGCAGAGAAAAGTTGTTTTTTCAGTCTGTGTCTGGTTCTTACCCTCGTTAGGAAATATTTCGAGCACCTCTAAACTTGTCATTGAATATATGTCGAATTATACTTTTTAAAGACCATTTTTCAGCCTTGAGATTTTAATTAAAAATAAACTTTCCTATGAAACGCTTACTGTTCTACGTTCACTTTTTACATTGGAAATTTGACAATATTCTCTCAACTTCAAAATATTGAAGCAATCCGACTCGAATGAATGTTTTTCAGCATATAAATATGTATAATTTTCTCCAATATTGCAAAACTTATGTATGTTGTTTGTACGATATAAATTTATGCGTAAAATGTAAACATAATCGATTAGTACCGTTGCTAAAATTATTTAACATCAACACGATTAAAATAATGAAATGAAGTCATACAAACTATCAAAATGGTTCTATTTTTCATCACAAAGAAACGAGATAACGAGCGGGATATTTAATTATTAAATCGGCATTAGCGAATTAGGTCAAATAAGACGAAAATGTAAGACGTTTGAAAATTGACGGAGAGAAAATTTTTGCGTCGAGGTACAGTTCCTTCGTGGTTATGTGTTTATAAGTAAACCCGATCACGTATAATAAATTCTTGTTTTTATTTTCGTGTCCAATGTGTATCTGCGACGGCTACGAGTGTATACTCGCCGGAGGATTCGATTACACGTCTTGTGATGGTCGACGCAGTTATGATTTTCTTCGTTATAAAGGAACATTACACGATTGATATGCGTGTATAACGTAATTATCGTATTATGACCGAAAACAAAAAAATGAAAATTCGTCAAAAGAATCTATAACTCAAGTTGGAATTTTGCATGATATTATTTCTCCACTGTGTCTACCGGTTTCATAATATATGACAGGTGTATGTCAGACAAATTCAGGTTTAGCCAACGATGAATGGGGAAAATAAATAAAATTATCACGCCAGACGTGAAATGACATAATATGCAGATCATGCAAATGTTAATGCAATGTCGTAGTCAATAAACCGAAATATTAGTCGCGTACTAATGACGATGCTTAGAATCGTAGTTAGATTCTGCAAATAATAAAATTTTCACATCGATGTATCTACACAGCGCCTAACGACTATTTGCAGTATTTATCAGACCGAATAACCAAAAGAACTGAATAAATTATAAAAATGATGAATAGACATTTCATGATTTTAACAATGCGTAAAAAAGAAAAGAATTGTAAGGCACCGCGAAGAATGTTTCAGTAATTAGGATTTACACAGGAATAGCTACAGTAGTGGAGGTAGCAGTAGCAGCTCCCAGGACACTTCACGTACCCTTAAAATCTTGCTCGAAAAACTTCTCTAGCACTGCAAGAGAAAATTCTTGCAACTGTAGATAGCGCCCCGCAATTCGACAAATACTTTTTTATCGAAATTTAAATCGTTTAAAAAAGTAATTGCTACGAAAAGATTTGATTATAAATTACGCCATCTAAATAATTTGTAAAGCAAAGCTAATGCAGCAAAAAAATGTGAAAAAATAACACAGTCAAATGAACATGTATTTGAATGTAAAATTGATTGATGTTACTCACTGTGAGTTGTGTATAATAATACGTCGTTGAAGTTATATACGAATATGTATTGAAGATGCTGCTTGTTGCGCTGCTGCTGCAGTACTATACGTTAATGCTCGAGAAGAGTCGGCAGTTCACTGCGCGATAGTCTTGTATAAAGAGGAGCCGAGAAAATCTCTCTGCCGCTGGCTGGGTTGGTTGGTGGGTGGTGGTGGTGGTGGTGGTTGCTGCTGCCCGACGACGGGTGGGATAAAACCAAAGAGTATGCGAGAGGGAGAAAGAGGAGCTGGCTCACTCGGTCGCGCGCGCGTGCGTTCCACTAGGGGGGCGAGAACAAGAGAGAGAAAGAGAGAAAGAGAGAGAGATGGCTAGCTATATGTGTGTGTCCGTGTATCCGCGGACCGATGGTTCGCTCGTGTGTCGAACAGGATTCATCGGGGCCTCGCTTATATAGCCATTCACCCACCACCGCCGTCCGGCACTGCGGCCACATAGTCGTCGGCGTAGTCGCGACGTTCCTTCGTACTTGCGTATGTATACGCAGGTAAACACATGACAATTCTTCAGATATCGTCGTATCCGCGAATACGTGTCATCGTCGTCGTTTTGAGCGTTGACGTAGTCGATAATCTTGACATGGCCAAGTCCCTACCACCACTAACTCAACTATCTGTAAAGCCAGAGTAGAATTCTGCTGAGATCCTCACACAGCCTGCTCATCTCCATTAGCAGCCCTCCTGCACTGCCGACTGTAAAACTCGCTCTTGCTGCTCTACCCTGCAACGAAGCTTCCTTTGTATTCATTCATACATTCCATGTAAATCTATCTTACTGTGTACAGTTTTTTGCTGTACTCTTTCTATATTTTCCCCTTTGCTTCTATGAACAAGAATCTCCCTCTTCGCTTGCTACATATATATATACTCTCAGACTGCCTTTCAGCTCTATTGCAACTTTACTTTTTGTGCTAAGCGAATATCTTGTGCTTTAGCTCTACTTTATCAGGGAATTTCGTGCTTTCCACTTTGAAATCTCTCTGAAGATTCTCATTGCGTGCGCACGTATTGAACAATATCGTTGCGAGCACAATTGGATTTGCCAGGATTATTTCAACATTTTTGACTTTCAAAGCAGCTTTTTCATTTTTAGTTACTAAAAATATTTTGTTAAAATAAGATATTCTTGAAAAAAACTGATAGCCAAACAGGATACAAGGGTTTTGCATAATAAAATACCTTATAGAAAATGCCTAAAAATGTTTCATCCTATTCTTAACATCAAATGAGGATATTCGTTCGTTTTTCTTAAAACACGCAATATTAGGTATAGAAAAAAGCGTAAAATCATCGATGTGAAATTGACGCTTTTGTGTTACATTATTGAAATAATGCAATATATTTTGTTGAAATGTTGGGGGAAGTGTACACACACCTAAAATCGTATGATATCGCTTATCATGATGAGACATGGGCAATACATCTGTGATTACATAAATATTTAATTGTCCTTAATTATTCCTCCTCTCTCTTCATCATTTGTTTGTTATTGTTAAGCATTTTAACAATTCATCTCACGTTACTACTTGATTTTCTTTTCTCGTACTAGCGATTCAAAGTCTGTAAACTTGTTTGGTTTTTCCATCGTCGACTCTTTTTATTATGTCTTTTTCTATCTCTGCTCCTCATTCTCTCACACCTTCAGTTTCTTCCTTTGCTACTCACTCAGTTTTTAAATATTATTATTCGTAGCACCATCCCTACTCTTTCCTTTTCTCTTTCTTTTCTTAATTTTTTTTTTATTGACGCATACTCACGTACAGGGGAAGGGTGCGTTTACATCAGGCCACTTATTACGCGAAAGCTGTTTCTCTCCTCTTTTCTCTCTCTCTCTCTCTCTCTCTCTCTTCTTCGACTCTTTCTTCGCGGTGTCTGGGCCTCTTTACCTCACCGCCGTTGAAGTTGCTTACTCTGCACAAGTGCGCGCGCGTGCATACCCCTCTTGGACAGGTTCTTCTTCTTCGTCTTCTTCTTCTGCTGCAAACTGTATTTGTATTTGCTCGAACAAGCTACAAGTCGAGACTCTTTGATTTCTCACATGCACGTGTGGAAGGGTAGCATAGAAATTAAACAAATGATTTTTATAATGCTAACATTGATGGCAAATTGTATCGGAATGCTTTGAACTTAATCAAACAAATTGCATATGCATACCTATGCGCAATTTGAGTGGCACTACTGTTTAGGTATATTTTACTTCATACTTGATTAAATAAAATTCACTTTTAAAATTAGCGGGAATAGAGCATTTACATCGAGTTATTATGATTAAATAGTAAGTAAATATGTTATGTAAAGTTTTGAACTTGAGTCGAAGTAATTTAGGAAATTTTTTCAGTAGTGTGCTGCCTACAGCTCCTAAGGTACGACGTATCATATCTCTCTTGGGAATCCACAAGAAATGTTATAACTAGAGAACTTGTATTAAATTAAATTATACGCAAATTTTTTCCGAGACTAAAAAAAGTTTCAAAATGTATCTATCGAAACTGTCTTATTAATATTAGATTTTCCCTTTTTCTCTCTCTTTTTAATTTAAAAGTAAATAGGGAGAAAAAACTTTATCAGCCGAAAGAGTTGTCGAATTTTCTAGCTTAACCGTTTCTTTCTCTTTAAAGTAAGACGAAGTAGACAAAGTTAAAGTTTTATTAAACCCAACCTTGTTTACTAAACTTCATCCAAGACGCATGGTGAACTAACTTTTTCTGCAGCTCGAAAACTATGTAATAACATTTATCAGCGCGTTTCTTTTTCCTGTAAAATCCTTACTTTGAAAAAATCGATGCTCTCTTTGCAGTGCAAGTTTTTTCTTTCTAAAAATAATACAAAAGTGTCTGGCGATACGTATTGGTACTATGCATCAGAAGCTAAGACGAATAAATGCACACGCGTGCAGCGCACGTACGTACACAAACACATGCCACACACGCACATTCGCACAGGCAAGCTCAGCACAACAAATTATGGTGAGGAGTCCACGCACTCCTATACCTCCCCCTCCCTTATTCTCGAGTTCGACGTTCCACGTTCTCGTTTACTCCCCCCTTGTGCAAAACATGTATATTTATATAAAAGTACATCAGGTAATGGCTCGACATGCCCTCTCTTTCGCGCTGCAATAAGCTACGATGAAGAGGAGACTCGTCGAGCGAGTATCCTTGCAAGATGTACGATATCTCATAGCGAGCAAAGTAAAACGAAAACAAGAAAATAGGACACGGACAGGTCCTGACAATGTGCTGAAGTATCTCCGTGGATAGCCTCTAATGTAAACCTTACAGCTTCTTCTCCTTATTCTTGTTTTTCTTATTAGCTCGCGCGCGCGAGCGAGCCAAAGAATCGCGTCTTCTTTCGATGCGCGCGAGAGAGAGCAACGCACACGAGGTTAATCCCCTCGTCTGAAATTCAAAGTTTAATGCACTTTAAAAACGCTCACACGGCTATGCTACCCTTTCACTTTTTTTGTTTTTTCTTTCCTTCGCCGTTCGCCTCTTTCTTGCTTGCTCGATGAATTCGTTGATCCAATCGATCGTTCAAATGATGCAAACCAACGTAACGCGGCAAATTTTTCTTCTTTTTCCTACCGTGGTATCCAACAATTTTCGTGAAAAAATTTTATTTTAATTTCAATCAGTCGAGATACAGTTAAACAATAGCAGTTGAACTATATCTTGTTATTGTTACGTATACACATCAATTTTAACGTGTTGCAAAACGTTAATTTTATTATAATTTATCGCTTCCTTGATATAACAATTTCCTTGAAAAATTACTGCTGCTTTTCAATATGTCAATCAATGAAAAGCGAGTCATTACTCACTAATTTATATCACGCAAAGATGTATGACGTAAAAATTACTGAAACGATTTATCTTACAAATATATACATTGCATACAGTATTGTATGAAGCCAATGAAAAGCATTTTCGTTTATTGAAAAAAGTTTTTTGCTACATTAGATTTAAAATAATCTCAAAGAATTTGAATCCAGTTATGCAAATGCAGATCTGCTGAGTACTATACTTCATATGTATAATACTCTCTCTCTCTCCCTCTCTCACTCCCGCGAGCATGCATACATTATTCCTTATAAAACCCGACTCGGTCATTGTCAGTTACCCACAAGAGCCTCGTGCCGCTATGATTCTTCGGCACCTGCGCTATCTAAGCTGGTCGCTGCGCGTGTATATATGTATTTAATATATACTATATATGCAGCAACTCAAACAGGTCTTGTTAAATTCTCGCGTACTTTGAGATGCTCGAGTATGTTTCTTTGAGAGATTGAACTTTTTTCACACTCGTGAGACTCATTTCGATAAAAAGAAATACGATAAACTTGCCAAAGTTCGGAATTTGACTCTGAATATTCTCAAGGGATATTTTTACTGCGACGAGTAAGAGGAAATACTTATGAATTTGCAGAAACACTGAATTTCTAATATTGATCTAATATTAAAATATTTACTATAACCTTTTAAGTTTCTCGATCTTAGAAAAACATCCAGACCTGATTGTGAAAAAATTTTTCTTTAGTATGCCTCGTGATGATCTCGTTTGTTTGCGAAATTATCAAACGTTATAATTGATTAATTTCATAATAAAAACTGCGTCCATTGAATCGTGTTTTTCTTAGTTAATTTACTTGGCTACTCCCTTGTTTAGTTTTATCTATCAAAAGTGTGTTCAAGTATAGAATAAAATTGAAAGCGAAAGTTTTTTTTTTTCAAAATGATCGTATAAAGCCCGCAAATTAAATTATTTTATATGAAGCATGTATATTATTTAACATTATTAATAAATAATATATGAATAATACTCTATGAAAGATCTGATAAAACGATAATTGTTACCATATCATTCAATAGAGCGAAGCTTCAATGAAGAAATAAATTGGTAGAAAATGAAAAGAATAATAAAATTCAAGGATGCATTTTTTTATTATTAGAAATATAGCAATTATTTCACGGAGTATAATGAACAACTAATTTTAATGGCATGCTTAATTTATACATTAAATTGAACGTTGTAAGTAGATTTGACGACAGCAGATTATTTTTAATATTTTAAAATATTTAATGTTCCACGCAGGAAGTCATATGACGTCGAAATTATTTGTCCGAGGAGTCATATTTTTCTGACATTTTTAAAGTTTAATCAAACAATTTTTTTATTTTCCAGTACGTAAGAGATTTTTTGGAAAAGTATAATAATTTTTTACTTCCGACTGCTCACAAAATATTTATCAAATTGTCTTGGCATTGGCATATTCTGGCAATTCGAGCCAGAAGTGAAAAATTCTATACGCAGTAAACAAACAAAAACAACAAACTTAT